TTAAATAACGCAAAACCCGAAGAGCAGAGTCATAATGCGGAACTCGTGGCTGGTGCATAAACTGGCTGAGAATGTGAACAACATAACTGATACCAGGACGGGTTATCATGAGATAGAGAAGGCGACCCACTATGCGACGATAACGACCAGGATCTGAGAAAAGATCTCCAGAGTCAAGAGCAAGTCGATGAGTTCGTTCCATTGGAGTAGTACAAGGCCGACAACCGAGAAGTCCACACTCAGTGAGAATGCCTAGAGTGTATTTGCGCTGAGTAAGAGCAATCCCAGTAGGGGAACGAGCAACTTCAATGCCAAGGAAGTATTTAAGAGGGCCAAGATCTTTGATGTGAAATTGGCAGTGAAGATGTTGCTTGAGCTGAGCGATCTGAGGAGCATCATTGCCAGCCACAATGATGTCATCAACATAAATAAGGACATCAACAAAAGAAGACCCACGATACAATAGAAACAGTGAGGAATCTGAAATAGAGATTTGTGCAATTCCTTAAATCCAGCAAGAGTGAGAGAATGAGTGAATTTATGATACCAATTACGAGAAGCCTGTCGAAGACCATATAGAGATTTGTGCAAGCGACAAACGCGTTGCTCCCCCTGTTTGACAAAACCTTGGGGAATCTTTATATAAACTTCCTCTTCTAGATCACCATATAAGAAGGCATTGGTGACATCTAGTTGATGCAGTTCCCAGTGACGAACAGAGGCAACAGCGAGAAGACAATGAACAGTGACTAGCTTAGCAACTGGAGCAAAGGTTTCATGAAAATCAACACCTTCAATCTGAGTAAATCCCTTGGTAACGAGACGGGCTTTGTATCGTTCAATACTTTCATAAGGGTTGAATTTGACTTTGTAAACCCATTTCAAGTCAGTGGGACGCTTCCCAGAGGATAATGGGACAACAGACCAAGTGTTATTGGCTTCTAGATCTGAAATTTCTGTAGTCATGGCATCCCTCCAATGCTGAGACTTCACTGCTTGAGAAAAAGAAGTCGGCTCATCTACTGAAGAGATGGCTGCTAAAAGAGCATTATGATTAGAACTGAAGCGGGAATAACACAAGGTATGAGATAAAGGATGTACCGTCGAGGAATCTGAAGAAGGAGGGGAGGACGGTGATGGATTGTTAGGAAGCAAAGACGGTGGAAGAGTGACATCATAATCAGCAAGACGCCGAGAAAGCTGTCGGTTGCGACGAGCAGGTGGAGAAGGCGGTGATGGTGTTGATAACGAAGAAGGAGAAGAAGAATCAGGCGGAGAAGCCATTCCAGGTGAACTAGAAGCAAGATCAGATGATGAATCAACTTCCATGGGCACAATAGGTAGTATGGGATCCGATGCAGCCAGGCGAATATGCTCAGGATCAACTGAGGAAGGTATACCAACAGGAGGTGAAGAGTCACGATAGGGATAGTTGTTTCAAAAAAATGAACATCACGTGAAGTATATATCACCCGTCGATCTAAATCAAAGATGCTGTATCCCTTTTGACCAGAAGGGTATCCGACAAAAAGTCCAGGTTGTCCCCGAGCACCAAACTTATCAAAAGGTTTTCCAGGAACATGAGCATAACAAAGGCAACCAAAACTGCGCAAGTGAGAATACTCAGGGGGTGTGCCAAATAGAACCTCATAGGGAGTTTTGTCTTTCAAAACAGAAAGTGGCATGCGATTGATCAGATAAGCAGCGGTTAAAATACACTCTCCCCAAAAGGGAGCGGTAAATGAGCCTGAAATCGCAATGCGCGAGCTACTTCCAAAATGTGCCTATGTTTGCGTTCAACAACGTCATTCTGCTGCGGAGTATAAACACAACTAGTTTGTTTATCCATACCATAATCAAAAAAATGAGCCAACAAGTCAACATGAGAAAATTCTAAGCCATTATCTGAACGGAACACCTTGATGATTGTATTAAACTGAGTAGACACTCAATTGAAAAAGAGTAATAGATAACGTTTAACCTCAGATTTATGCTTCATGAGAAATACCCAAGTTGCACGACTATAATCATCAACAATAGTGAGAAAGAAACGTGCTCCAGAATGAGAGGGTGTATGATAAGGCCCCCAAATATCACAATGAACCAAATCAAAAATATGCATAGTATTTTTATGTCGTAAAGGAAACGGCAAACGTGTCTGTTTAGCTCGACAACAAGCATCACAAGGAGAAACTGAATGATCTCTAGAAAAAGAAAGACTTGGTATTAAGGAAATACGACTGATCGGTAGGTGTCCCAAACGATGATGCCAAAGAGAGGATGAATGATCCTTCCGTGTCAACAAGGCTTGCCGCCCTCCGCCAGTATCCAGGTGCTTCAAATAATACAATCCATCACGTACTCTACCCGCTCCAATCAGCTTCCTCGAGCGTAAGTCCTGAATAAAGCAAAAATCAGGGCCAAAGGTGAAAAAACAATTCAAATCTCGTGTCAGTTTACTGACTGAAAGAAGATTAAATCGAAATTGCGGAACACCCAAAACATCCTGAAAGATCAAATTTTTATCAAGGATAAATCGGCCAATGTTTTTGACTGGAACCCGATTACCATTGGGAATTTGAATAGAAATGTCATTGTGTGGCCGAAATGAATCCTGCAAAAAATCAATCAAATATGTTGAATGATCAGTCGCACCAGAATCAGCAGCCAAATCATCCTTACCACCATTCGAAGCTGGAGTAGAAGATAAAGCCAGAGCCGGCACTGTTGAAGGACTTAGCATGGTGAGAAGCTGTTAGAGTTGGGCCTGCGTGAGAGAAGCAGCCGGCGAAGAAGGCGGATCAGTAACAGAAGCAAAAGAAGCGGAGTTGCACCGAGGTTTCGAACAATTCGACTGTCTCCAACTGGGAGGATAACCGATGATCTCATAGCAATGGTCCACTGTATGATTGGTCCGGCCACAATGAGAACAAAGAAGCTTGTTCGGACCACTGCCGGTACGGCCATCACGTCTTCCATCCCGACGGGTATCACGGCGGCCATCAGCAGGGATCTTGGCAAGTAAAGCAGCAGCTTCGATGACGGGAAGACGCGAATCAGCAATGGACCGCTGCTTCTCATCACCAACGACGATGGAATAAGCCCGGCCAATCGTCGGAAGCGGTTCAAGGCTGAGGATCTGAGAACGAACAGTCTTGTAAGTGTCGTCCAAGCCCATAAGGAAGTCGAAGACCTTCTCTTCTGAACGGATGGTCTGCAATTGACGGGCTGCTCCACAAGTGTAGCCGGTACAACTACAAACAGGAAGGGGTCGAAGATTTTGCAATTCATTCCTCACAGTCTTGAGTTTGCCCTAATACGTAGCCGTCGGTGTTTTTTCTTGTTGAAGTAGAGCAATTTTGGGTTTTAATTCATAAACGCGGGGTGCAATACCTTGAGTGAATCGTTCCTGGAAGTCTTGCAAAATTTCCAAGGCTGTCGGAACATGAGTGGCGCCGGATTGAAGTTCTTAGCAGAAGGTGTTGGTGATCCAAGATTTGAGAAGAGCGTTGCATTGAACCTAGGCTTGATAATCTGGACTATTGATGGATGGTTTGGTAATCAATTCATCAAAAAAACCGGCTTTGTTTTTGGATTCAAACACCGTAAAAAGACCATTGCGCCAGGAGAAATAATTGTCACCGGTTTCAAGGAGAGGATCGGTGACAAAGATCATGCCAGGATGATCGGATGGATGAATGTAGTAAGGGGATTTGATGTCAACCGAGTTAGAGGTGGGAGGGATCACCAGCGTTTAATCAGAAGAAGCAACAACATTTCCAGAATTGGGATTAGTCATGATCAACAAATAAGGAAGATGGCCGGAAAAAAAAAAATTGGTTGACGGCGGCTATATTAGGGTTCTGCTCTGAACCATGAAAAGATAAATGAGGAGAATATTTTCATATATGTTTCTGATACAAAGGAGGCCATATATAAGCCAAAATACAACAAACTGATAAAGAAGGAAAATAGGATCCCTATCTCTTCATATAAGGAAAAGATAATTAGAAATGTGTCTAATATAATTTCAATAGTTATCTTCATTCCAATTGGCTTGTAACACAAAATGTAGATGTGGTGAGTGTATAGAATATTTTTTCGTAATAAATAATTTTTTATTCCAACATATAAAAATATTATTTTGCGATTTGTGAATTAATCTGTTACACCAAATTAACCACGTAAGAAGATATTTCCACTTGTTTAAGTAGAATGTTGACTATCGAATAATACTATTTGAGTGTTTCGGTTTTTGGGAGCCAGATACGAAGAAGTCAACGTGTTCAACCCGTTAACAAAATTAATTGTACTTTTAATTTCCTAAACCAATGATGGCTCGTCTATTCTTCTACCATTTGGGATCTTGTTCGATTCATCCGGATGATTCTAGATCGTCCCATAAGGCCTAAAATTGGTGTATAGAGATGGGTTAATCCTACGGCCTACAATAAAGTGTGATAATATCTCTGGACGAATTGAAAAAAAATAGGGCTTCTGATATTTGTAATATTGTTGTACCACTTGGAGGGGTTCATGATGTTTGACCGTTTACGTAGGGGTTTTTGATGTTTTAGCCTAAGAGATAAACTCGATGGTATTCACCTCATTTCATACGTAGATTGCCAGCTGCATGCTAGTTCGTCTCACTTTTCTCTCGTCTTTTTTTTTCTTTTTTTTTTTTTCTTTTCTTCCTGGCGAAGGCATATTCCATTTGTTACTAATTTTTTCCATTGGATACTCCACAGTCCACTGTATAGGTTTCCGCTTCGCCCGAATAATTAATTGATCATACAGACTCGATGTATATGTATATTTTTATCTTTTAAACCCCCTCACCCCCAAAAAAAAGAGCTTAAAGGAAAACTGATCACAACAATATATATATATAGTATTTGATTTCACATATATTAATCATAATTATAAGCAAACTTTTTTTGTTCGTTATCGTATCTTTTTTCTTATTGAGAAAAAAAGTAAGTAAAAAGGTTGGATTTTTTTTTTGGTTGGGAATTGCAAAGTTTAAATTTAATATTCAATCCAAAAATGAATCAAACAAGAAGTAGAAAGTACTACATATAAATGTTCTTTAAAAAATAAAAAATAAAACAAAAAAGGCAGAAAAGAAATGAACAAAAAAAAAGAAAAAGGAAAGAGTAATGAGGTGGTGCTTTCCCTTTTTTTCTTTTTTTTTTTTTGTTACATAGAAGAAGGCTTATAAGCCTATGATCCCAAAAAGACAGTACGGGGATGAGCTACGCCCAATTACATCATGAAGAAGCCAATTGCTAATCCGGGGGTGCTTTCCCTTTTGTGCTTACCGCATAGTTTACTTGCAACTTGTTGTCCGCTTATAAATGTCCACCTGTAAAGCAATTAAGCAAACCCACACTCAATATCTCAAATCTGCAGTCAAAATTTAACCAACATATATACACACGCTCCCATCACTTCAATTACGTTCCAGTAATCCTTCAATTCTTTATCAGTTTGAATAGTTTGAGTCACTTCTTGTCTTCACTTTTGTTTTCTTTTATACTTTGCTCTTTTTTCCTCCCGAAATGTCGAGCGCCCGATTAATTATCCCACAATTTCTACTACTTGTATTGATGATGCTTCCGATCATTCCGCTGGTGGAAGGTACTTGCCGGAGCTCCTGTGCCGGTATTCCGATTAAGGACGAATTCGGCGTCGACGACGGATGCGGCGCTCCCGAGTTCCGCAACATGCTCGTTTGTTCGTCTACTCGTGCCGGAAAAGGTGGAGATGGAGATGACACTTTGTGGTTTGTCACGATATCGGGTAAATACCCAGTCAAATCAATCGACTACGTTACAAAAACCATGATCATCTTTTCCAACCCCGAAACCTCGTCCAAGTCCAACCAGACAAGTACTACTTGCACCAACCATGGCTTCCTAATGACCGATCTCCAGTTTTCCGTTATCCGTCCGTCTCCGGACACCGTTTTCGCCCTTCTCAACTGCTCGGCCAACTCCCCCGTTTTCGATCCTAGCAATTCCGTATGCTTAAATGATTACGGAGAACATTCTTGCTCCGAGATGTACGGCGCCGCTTGTGCTGATTCGTTCGAGGGTTTCAAACCCTCCAAGGCCACGTCACTGCCGCCGTGCTGTTTCTCGCGGTTCGATGTGCTTAGGAATATGAGTAGGTTTAATATTGTGTCGGGATGTACACACTTCACCAGCTTCCACGACACCACGGGTCGTGATTTGAATGGAAGAGTCGGCCGGCCGGCGGATTGGTCGTACGGGATCAAGCTTTCTTACAGCACAAGTATGCAGACGGATTGTGATCGGTGTACGTTGTCCGGCGGGATCTGTGGTTTTCAGGTCGAGACTTTTGAGATGACTTGCATTTGCAGCACAACCCTCAACACCACCACTGAATGTGGTAATATTTTTTTTTATCAAGTACTTTAATTTAATTATATAATAGGGTTTTGGGATTTGGCAAAGTTTATCAAAGATTTTGGGTTGGAGTTTTGAAGAAAAATCGATTTTTTAGCAAGGATTGTTTCATGTTTGTGTAATATAATGTTTGTTGTATGATGTAGTGAAGTGTCATAAAAAGAGAAACTGTAAAATTTTTCAAAATTTAGGCTTCTTACTAAAGTGAGGCAATCTCACTTTTGTATATGATTTTCAATTAGTTGCGAAAAACAAATTCCCGCAGAAATTAAACATGAATCAGTTGGCTCAAGCTCATATGTTCCCAAACTTGTTTTTCGAATGTAACATTGTCCCTTAAAATGCATAAAATTATCTCCCTTTAACATGGGATCACAATCATCAACAATACAAGTCACCAACAGAATCTTATTTATAAACATATAAAGCAGTACAAGTTAGGTTTGTTTTTACTACGTACGTATCTTTTTGTGGTTTTATGAAAGTGTGAGATTAGGGTTTGGTCATACTGCACATATCTAGTCGCAAACACTCCTACTCTCCTATATCAAAACTTGATGATAATTTACAAGCTGTTTAATTTAATAGCTCACAGGATTAGTAATTAATTTATAACCATTTCTTATTTCCTCTCAATAATGATCCAATCTCACGTTTTGATTATATATGCTACAGCTCCTGGAACTGTTCCATCGAAGTCCCCGTCTGCAGGGATTAATGGAACTTCGTTGATAAAGATTTTCGGTCCAATAGTTGGAGTTGTGCTTTTTATTCTGCTCATGTTTGTTCCAGGGCCTGGTGGCAACAGACTATATTTATATTGTTGCAATTATGTTGCTTCTGTGTCTATTGTTGAGGGGAAGGTTTGATGTTTTTTGCTTCTGTTGCTTCTGCTTCATTGCTAGCTGGAGTGATGATGTTAATACATATGTTTCAAAACAAAAAGAAAAAAGAGAAAAAAAAATTATAGTGAATGTAACATTTGTGTAGACTGTAGAGCATTCCAATTCTGTAAGATTTCATATACTTCTATTTGATTGATGTAGAGGCTTCTTGTGTATACCCTAGAAAGAATATTATTTTTGTCAAAAATAATATTCATATTTGTAAGCATCTTTGTCCCTCACATTGCACCCAAAACAAAAAAAAAAAAACACACACACACACACACACACACACTCTCACAATGTCTACCGGAGGTAGAAATGTAACTCATTCTTGCAGTGATTTTATGAATAGGCTTTTGTTTCAGTTTTCGATTGATGGTACTGCACTATTTATATTCATTATTCATGTATCGCGTTGGTATTTTGAAACAAAGAGAGATTATGAGGCAAGGAGATCTTAATTCCTAGATCTCCACTGATATTTGTCATAGTTATGGAGTAATTGAGCAAGGGCCTCTTCTTTTCCTCTATCATTGTGAATGCATGCAAATGTTTTAATCTCTGCGTGCAAAGGAGTTGAATGCAGTATACACGATCAGACTTATAAATTAAGCAAACAAGCTAGATGAACTTGCTCACACTAATGGGTTATGTGCTAATGTGAACCATTTGCAGATATTTTAGGAGGTACAAAAATGAAATATGGATTTCATGGTCATTGAGAAGTTGCAGAGAACTGTAGGGTTCGAGAGAGGGCATTTTGCCTTTTAAAATAGTTGGGTTTTGCTTAATCTTTTGCCAAATGGATTCAGGCAGATTGTCCGTCAATGGTAAACAAGATAACTGTGAGAACCAAATATTTGGCTTCCAGACGATTTCTTACACTGGAGGACTCCGACTTATGAACCAATATGTATTGTTAAACCATAGTTGGGAAGTGTTTTCATGTTGCCAAATAGTGTGATCATGCTAGGAACCGACCTATCCAGAGGTCTTTTTGTGGGATTAATTTGAGAGAACCGACCTATCCAGTCGTGTTGCATGAAATACTATTGGCAATTAAAACTGGAGGAGGATTATTTAAGTATATGTGATTTAGTGGTTTGTGGGGTACGTTGGATTCGCAAGCGGTATTTCAACAAAGGAAAAAAGGACAGCTGGGGGGAGTTGAAGTCAAATGTAACTCAAACTGGCACTCGTACGTTCTATGCTCATGAAGTTTGGCAAGAGGAGACAGATCGGTTGAAATAAACATTTTTTTTTTCCAGCTCCCCTATTCAATAGGAATGAGCTACATTAGGAAGTAGAGAAAACCCAGGCAATTGTTTGCAAGTGTTTCTGCAGTGATTACCATGCACAGAAAGGAGCACAATCTCGTGGAAATGAAGGTAGGAGGATGTCAATGAATTAACTTGTCACTAGCATTAAACATGAGTTGAAATGTAAAGTGATACCATGCTGCAAGTAAATGCAATGTATACTTTTAGAATTCAGGCATCTTAAGTGGCCTCACTTTGTTAAGAATTTTAATCTCCTCTACGCTCAGTTACTAGACGTTTATTCACTCAATCAACACACATGTCGTACAATGGAATAAATGTAAATAATTAAACAAACAACAAGCATACAACAAATAACTTAATGCTATCTCTCAATAAATTTATATCCACATAACGACAACACAAAAAATAAAAGAATTTACAAAGTGTGAATACTCTTATTAAATATACAATTGTCTCTTTCATTCGATTCTACTTTTATATTTTATTCGTATATTCTCAGAAGGAGAAGAATAATAGAGGAAGATATGTGCTTTCTCAATTCTATTTCCCTCCCCTTTTCAAGCTCCCCATTCACTCAACTCGCTTAAATGGTTCCATCGTGACTCTTTGACTAGGTTTCGTACAAACAAGAATATTTATATTAAAACTCTAAACTCACTATTACAACTTATAGCAAAGAAAACCTACACTCATCTAATGGGTTTGGAATTTTGAGGAGAAACCCGCCACAGTATTTAGATGCTCGAGGCTCAAAATTATTCATTATAGGCTTATTAGTGCAGAAGACGTAATATATAAAGGAAAAGTGATTTACAGATTATCCATTTTCTTAAATAATGTATTTGCCACTTTACCTTAAAAACAAACTATTCAGGTGAAATCTGTCAATAATTTTGCTTCTAACTTTAGCCCAATCAAGGCCCATGTGGTCGATGGTTATAAATGTAAAACAAGCCCATCACCTGCTCTTTCTTAATTATTTAACTTTGAAACTAGGTGGATCTACAATTTGCTACAGATACAGCCCATCACTGTTAGAACTAAAGTATGGCTTTTTTTCTTTTGAAAACACTGTCGTATATACTATTAACTTTGAGTCTTTTTCATCTCGCACAGCTCCACAAACTAGAATTAGGTTGTGGAAATGCTTATATTAACCCTAAGAACATATTTTATTGTGTCTTTCTCCACTTAAAAACGAGAAAGTAGAAGTGAGGTGAGCTTTCGCTAAACCAAATGAACCTAAACCATGGTCAATTTAAGAGGTAGTTTTGGTAAATATTGATGTCTTTATTGTATTCTTACGGTCACATTTTAATAATCCGTTTGTTGTTTAATTTTGTTTTAATAAATTAATGCTTAGATTTATACAGAAGTAAAAATAGCCTCCGTAACATCTGCAGATGTAATTTAAGGTATGTGTGGACTATTGAAAAAGTCATCTACTAGTGATCGTGTTTGATCGTGAAGGTTTAGCTATAACTTTTACGAAAGTCAACCAAATTCGCCAAATTTATTGTTACACGACACCTCATTTAATTACATTAAATTATTTTATTTTTTTTTGAAAAGGTCATTAAATTATTTGTAAGTTGTACTATCAAAACGAATGTAAAAATGGTCATGACTCATGACTATAGAATCCAATGGCCAAGGCTTTAGTTCCAATCACAAGGTCAACCAAATTATACGTACCTGTATTGGTTGGTTGATATATTGTACACTTTTTGTCTTAAAAAATAATGTATACTTCGTTTATTCTGAAATTATTATCCAGTTTGAATTTTCATTTTTTTAGTTCAAATTATGTCGAAAGTGAAAATCAAAACCGGACAATAATTTTTAGACAAAGAGAGTATTACAATTTATAAATTGTACTAAAAGAAGCACAATTCACAAATTATAATGCAGACTACTTTTCTGGGACGAATGGAGCACATCATCATATGGATTCTGGACTTGGGTGGAAGATTAAAAGGATGTGATGGGATATATACCATGATTCATGAAGATATATAAAACTGAAAAAAAAAAGAAAAAAAAAACGAAATAGTATGTGATATTTGATTGGAATCAGTATGGTGCGTTGATGAATAGAGGATAATCATAAGGTCAAAGAAACGCAAAAAATCATTGCAGGTTCGTCATGAGTAAAGGAGAATCTAGCAGCTTTTGAACCTAGATCGGGATGGCGGGATGCCGCTTAGTGAACTTCATTGAAGTGATTTTAGCTCACGAATCCACTGCTAGTGGTACTAATAGTTGTGTAAACTAAGGGAAAGCCTAAAGTCTGATGTTAATAAAAACCGAAAAAAGGTCTTGAAAACATTCCAAGGCATGATTGCCTCGAATGGTAGGTTTATGTAGATGTCTTTACTTACATGAAACATTATCTTAATTTATGAAGATGTATGATTAATCATGAATGGCAATAAACAACAACTAAGAAAGAGATTACATGCATGAGAGAAAACAATATCCAAACGTAACGTACCTTATTTACGCATGCGAACTGATGAGAAATGATGGCCTGGCCATATCTGCTTTTTGGTAAATCCCAGAGGAGAAGAAGAAGTGCTGAGAAGAGTCATGGGGAAAGTCATGAACTTACCTAAAATCTTTGATGAGGAAAATGAGCAAAACTTTCACGAAAGGTGAATGAATATTTTAACTCTCTGGCAGGCCGTTCTGTCTGACTTTTGAAGCTCTGAAAGCTTATTATATGATTGCTTCATCTCTCCATTTAAGAAATGTATGAGCAGTTTCGTATATTAATAAACTAATTAGCATCACTTTCTCCAATCTAAATAATGCTTGCAGGTTGTTTGCATTATTTTTATTAGTCGGTCCGCCAACAATCTCATTAGTTTTTCATTTTGATTTTTATGCACTTGGCAAATTGGAAGGACAATTGATCAGGTCCTCAAGAACAACTATCGGAATTTTTTTTTTCCTTGCAGTTTTGATGTTACAAGAGCCACGATGTAGATCTGAATAAGTATTTGACACATATTAATATATTATTATACTCTACGTTAAATCTTAACTTAGGCCGGATAAGTTTTTTGTACGGTAAAAACTTTCTTAATGAATATTTTAATTATTATTTACGCCAATTCTTGATGATCTAAATTCAAATAATGAGTTTATTACTTGGACTATGTGCTTATTAATTTTAATTAGTATTTTGTGACAGTATCTTTTTAGTCTGTCGTCGACCAATCTTCCTTGAAGTATTTCATTTCACAAAATTTTTACGGCTAAGTCAACTCTTACCAAACTCATTACAGTATTCATCAATTTAATGTGATCTATATAATTAATTGGGATGGTTTTTCAAATCTGGCCTGCCATGCTAGTAATCAATCAATATTATTTATCATATTAAAAGAGAACTCCAAAAAAATAAAATGTTGAGGTGTTGTATTGTGATTAAAAATTTCCCTCCAACATATGTTTATATTGAGAAACCTACCACTAGAATAACAGCACATCGGATAATATCAAATATAAGATAAATTAACCACAACTTTAGATAATTAACTAGACAATATCACAACTCTAGATAATTATCACATTGACACGCCCCTCAAACTGATGAGGGAGAAGATAGTAGTCTCAGTTTGCCCAAGAATCAAGGTGAACCAGTAGCAACAAGCGAACAGGAGAGTAAAGCAACAATAGCATAAGAAGGGGACTGACGGCGGCGCGAGCTAGAGATGCGGCACAACCAGAGTGAGGCTGAGGGCGGCGCAAGAATGCAGCACTGACCGAAAGATGATTTATGGCGGCGCAAGAATGCAGCACGACAGGAAGATGACCGACGGCGGCGCAAGAATGCAGCACGATCGGAAGACAAATGGCAGCGCAAGAATGCAGCACGCGGAAGATGAGTTATAGAGAAGAGGCGGAGATGTTTCTTCGCTGTGGCCGGGGGGTTGTGTTGTGATTTTTTGTTTTATTAAGGACTAGCAAAAGAAAAGTACTCCATTGACAAATGCAAGAATCGTAGGACCTACGTGCACAAACTCTTAGTTACTAGGACTGATTTGTACTAATCAGAAGAGACAGGATCATAGGACTATTTGGCATTTAAGAAAAATTAGAGGGACCGAATTGGTTACAAAGTAGAGGAACTAAAAGTGAAAAACTGAAAATTGGCCAAAATGCCTAAAATTGGCAGAGTAAAAGGACGGTTCTTTTTTTTCTTTTTGCAGACCGAGGAAGATGGGGTTTGTTGTTTGTATTTTTCTTCGGTTTGGGTCTTTTTTGTTTGAACGACAGGAAGGTGGGTTTATGTCACGTGAGGAGGGTTGATTTTTGGTTTGAGGTGGGTTGGGTTGGGGGATGGAGAAGGTTTGTTTTTTTTTTGTTCCCTTCTATTTTGATGGTGGCGGCGTCGGCGGGAAAGAAGGAGAAGGAAAAGCCGGCGGCCAAGGGAAGAGCCGAGGAAGCTTTGCGGCAGCGAGGGAAAACTAGGGAAAATAAGATGTTTTTTCTTCTTTTTTTTTTTTTGTAAAAGATGATGATGATGGTGTTGATGCGGCAGGAGATGGTGATCAAGAAGAAAAGGAGGAAGATTTTTTTTTTCTTTAAAGATGAAAAGGATGATGCTGATGGTGAAGGCCGACTAGATTACTACGGTAATCTATGTGATGATAGGAAGGGCGTGGATGATGATGGATGTTGATGGATGAAAAACAACACGTGAGGGGCTGCTTGAGGACTTGTGCAGAAGGCAATAGAGAAAGAACAAAGCCCGCGTTCGGAAGAGAAAAGGGAAGAGGGTGGCGGAAGAAGGAAGGGAAAAGAAAAAGATGGCAGTAGATGATGATGATGATAGTTAGGATGGATTATGATGGGTGAAAAAAATGTTTTGCGAATAGCAACGAAGAAGAAAGAAAGAGACACAACCTTGATGTGTTGTTTTGTGTTTTTTTTTTTTTCTTTTTTTTTTGTGCGGCAGAAAGAAGAGTAGAGCCGCGGTGGCGGCCAAGAAGAAGAAGGAGGGTGGTGGCCAAAGGAGAGGAAGAAAAAAGAAAAAAGAAAAACAAAAAAGAGTAAATTTTGTAACCTGTCTCGATATCAACTTAGAGAATAGAATGGTTTCAATTGAGCAATTGATATATTACAATTACATATGTTTATGTAGAGAAATCTACAACTAGAATAACAGCACATGTGATAATATCAAATATAAGATAAACTAACCACAACTCTAGATAATTAACTACACAATATCACAATTCTAGATAATTATCACATATGATAATTATCACATTGACACTCCAAAACACATTAAGACAAAACGCCATCGTTTTGATTAAAAAAAAACTTTAACTATACACCAAAAAAAGTAGGTTTTTATCATAAATGCATATAAAGATCAATTCATTCTATTACCAGAAAGAGAAAGTTTAATTATGTATTACGTTCTAATTCAACATTTCTTGCCAAATTAAAAATAAAAACGATAAAGGGAAAAAAAAAATTATTGGAACTTCACGGGTAAAATTACAAAAAGTAAAAAAAAATCCAAACAAAACATTTTTCTTACATGCAAAATGAATCATTCTAATGTTAATCTCATTAAAAAAAAATGTTCAAACTTTACGGTTAAAATAGGACAACCAACCAAATAAGCAAATAATTCAAGAACTGATAAAGTAAAGGAGGCACACGAATTTACGTGGAAACCCAAATCGGGAAAAATCACGAGAGCGTAACAACAGTCAAATCTCCACTATCACAATAATGGGAAACAGTCTTCACCAACCGGTGGATACACAGGAATTCACCCAAAGGTGGATTACAATAATACTCTTCCACACACATTTATCAGAAAGTAGGACTGGAAGGATCTCACCAAAAGAGAGCTAAACTGAAAACTAAACCGGAGGATTTGTAGATCTTGATGAGAGGAACACACATGCAAACTTGCACCAATAATTGACTCTGTTTCGTCACTCGATCAAAGCCTTAAAGTGAAACACTTTCTTCTCGCAACACCAAGAAAAACCCTAGAACTAACTTTTCTCTCGCAAAAAATAATGTGCGGCTGTCCCAAATTTACTTGTCAAATTCACAGCCAAAAAAGTCACGGCCACATTGCTTTTATAAACAATCAAACCAAAAAACCAAATCTAATTGGTTTTCCTTTTATTCGGCCAAACCAAACCAAATTCAATATGGATTTTGGCTTCAAATTGTTGCTGAGTCCAATTGAGGGGAACAGCCCAACAATTAATCATCATTTAATTAGGTGAAATGTTTTATAAAATGCAGGTAATGGGCAATATTAATTTATTGTTGCAGTAGTGTAATTATTAATGGAATAAAGAACTAATTTTTGGAACGCTCGTAAGGCATTAACAAGAATTGAAGATTTTTATGTCTCCTGACAAATAAGTAGATATGACGAATTGATTCTTAAAATATTTGATTACATGGTTTGAGTGCTCAGAGATTCAATGAGTGAGCTAGCAATTTGAAATCAAGAGTAAAAAAATGGTTAGATTCAATTGGACGCCCTAGTCAGTGAGGTTTCATGTGCAATGGTTTATTTTTTTTAAATGTGCAATCGTTTGTCTATCTTTGTTTGTTGCATGTGTTTTGTGTGCGATTGTTTAGTTCTCTTATTTACTGTGTTTATATTATTATGCTCAAAAATCCAAAAAAAAAAGTTGCAAATAAAATTCTATTATTTGAAATAATACGTTAATAATCGCTCAATAATGCATATAAGAAAATTCTAAAATAAAAAAATTACTAGATAAAACTTATACAAGAAATAGTGCAATGTGTTTTAAGCCAATGTGCAATATAAATCTAGATGCAATTTCTAATGATCAAATACACAATCACACGTAGATTTTTTTTGTAGGATAAAAATAAAATAAGAAAGTTTAATTAAGAATTATGGAAAGTTTTGGTATAATGCAATTATTTGAAAGTGAACGTATAATGTATTTTTCTTGAATGTGCAATTGCTTCCTCAAAAGTGCAATGCTTAGATATCTATTGTTAACTTACTATAAAAGTAAAACGAAAAAAATATTGTGCAATTAATTGTTAATTAATTACGTGAAATGTTTTATAAACTAACGTGCAATCTTATATAACTATTAGTGCAATATATATAATGAAAGAAGGAAACTTAATAATTAATTAATGGTGATTTTTTATTTTAAATGTTAAAACTTTCCTAAATAATTCAATTTTTAAAATTTTGGTAGGTTTACTTGCTTAGCAGGTCACAAAAATTTTTAAGAATTAGGAAAAAATCAATATTATATTGATGTGTCACTTTCCTATTGGTTAAAACTTAACGGGACCAAACCATAGTTATCAAATCGTGATACGTATCGTGTATCGGAAACCTAAATTTATGATACGCGTATCGTATCGTGTGTCGTTTCGTAAGATACATTTTAATATAATTATATATATAATAAACAATAAATACCATAAACTTAATTGATGTATTTATGTATTTTTTTAATTTTTCAGCTATAAACGAAAATTGATTAAGTTAAATTCAAGATTATTTGAAAGTTACACAAATTACTTATTTATTACATGAATAATGGTCGTAAAACCTATGTAATAAAATTATTTTTCACAAAAGTTGTTATTATAACCATAAATTTAATAGTAAGAAAATTAATATAAACATGCATTACCTTTATTCAACATGTTATTAGTTGTACTTGATTTAGAGAATCATATTATGAATAAAATAATACTTTTAATTATTTTATTTTTTGATATAATAATTTATTAATCAATTTTATCGTCAATTGAGGAAGATTCTATTTGTGAATGGTGAATTAAATAAATCAAAGCATCTACTCAAAACAAATTGTAAATGAAATCCACTCTTAATTTGAAATTCAAATGGTCATTATGAAACAACAATTTAAATTCTTTTAAGAAAAAATTATTTTTTGCCTATATTTTCGTATCGTACGATACACAATCGTATCGTGTATCGTATGTATCGTACGATACGTATCGGTAATTGACCGATACACAAATGATTGTGATACATTTCTTTATACCTGTCAAAATCTTTAATTTTAATACGTATCGTGTAATACATATCGCGTATCGTATGATACTTACTACTATGGACTAAACCCTTAAAATAAGCAATGGGACCCTAAAATTTTCGGTATTGTATATGCATCTATTCTAATTGTTGTAGTGCATATATTATCTTCTATTAGCTGTTACATTTTCCTATATCCTTGAATAAAACAATGTATTTATTTTCCATAAAATGTGATATCTATACAAAATTACTCACTCCATGTAGGCTTAATATTCCGTTTTGGTGTAACGTCTAGAGAATTTTTTTTGTTTTGTTTAATAGAGTGAATTCAGTAACAGGCTAAACATATGTATCAGTGTTCCATGGCCAATATCTATGAGGTGTCAAATTATCCTGAATTAGATCAAGAGTTAGCCAGACCGTAACCAAAAGCCAAGTGTACAATGATTTCAGCTTTTTTTGGCTGCTTCTTACAACACCATCTGTCTTTATACTATGAATTACTAGTTGTTTCGTACCAACAACGAATCAATTCAGCGGCATCTCTTTCAGATCTAGTAATAGAAATTCCAGGCTTTCCAGCTCATCGATTACTATACACATATGCATCATTTCCAATTGATAAAAGCCTTATCCCTGCAGATAAAAGTTTTACAAACCAACCGACAAGTTAAAAGCTTTGAAAAAAAAAAAGGACAAAAAAACAGAGTGAAATTAAGCAATGGAAATGGCGATTATCATCAGGTCGGTGGCAGTTTATCTTGCAATTCTGGTGATCATTGCGTTGGGTCACGGCCTTCCCGACGATCAAAGCCCCGGAGCTGTACTCAATTGGTTCAAGCAATTTCCTCAAGCAAAACCCAAATTGACCAAGTTTCATTTCTATCTTCACAACATTGTCAGCAAGAGTCCTCCGGCAAGCACCCCAGTTGCTCGGGCCGCCATCACCGCCTCAATGCCGGAAACAAGTTTCGGGTTAGTCAACGTAATCGATGCTCCGTTAACAGAGAAACCGGATTCTAAATCGAAGCTTGTCGGTTACTGTCAAGGGCTGTTTGCTTTTTCCTCACAGGAGGAAAGGAGTACGATTATGACCCTTAATTTCGTTTTCACCGGCGGGGAGTATAACGGCAGCACTCTCAGTGTTTTGGGCCGTAACCATGTGACCGCAAAATACAGGGAATTTCCAATCATCGGCGGATCCGGTGATTTCCGGCTGGCACATGGGATCGGAACGGCGAGTACTTACTTCCTTAATAAGACTACAGGGGATGATATTCTTGAAATGAGCTTCGTTTTCTACCGTTACATTATTCCTTCCGGCCACTCTGAGTATGTTGATGTAGTTGTTTGAGCTCTGCAATTTTTCTGCTTTCTTTCTTTTTCGCAGTCCTATAAAGTTTTGGATGAATGGCATTTTGGTCTCTAGATTAAGGCTTTATTCCTCATCTACCAAAAGCTTAAATTTGTCACTAGATTCAATACATTAAATTTTAGTTAATGATTTAGTCACGTTATTTATCTACAATATTATACTGCTCATTGTACATCTCAGTATCTCACAAATAAATTCTTTGACATTATGTTTGATGTGTTCCAATTTCTGACTGAAAAGTCAGGTAAAATCAAATTTTCTAATGTAATACAATTTTAATTCCGTTTGTCATTTAGAAGACATTGAAAATGTAACCAATCAATTTAAAGATTCAATCTTATTATTGATGTAATTGCTTGCAAAATGCGAATTATCCTGAAAATTGAATGACAGTCTAGTGATTAGGTTGTTGTCCTTTCTATTAATTGACTAGGGGTTCGATTCCCACCAGAGATTATAGGGGATTCTACCCACATTTAAGTAAGGTTTACTGGGATGGATTTATTTATTTTTTTCAAAAAAATGCGAATTACCCAATTTCTTGCCCTGACATAAGAGAAAGAAAAATAAAAGTGGGGGTAACTAAAACTAACTACTACGCCTATAGTGGCATGTGAAATTTCTTACCACTATTCATCGATTCTTCTATTTGTACTTAAAAGATAATATGCTTTCTGTAATTTCTTTTTGTTTGTATTCATCGATTCTTCTACGTGCACTTAAAAGATAATATGCTTTCTGTAATTTCTTTTTGTTTGGAACAGAAGAATAAGCAAAGGAGAATAATCCTTTTGAGATAAAAAAAATAATAATAATAATAATATCATGATTTCAATTCAGGGCCAGCCCTGGAGGCCTGTACCAGTTCAAACCGTGCAATGGGCAGGGCCAGCTTTTATTTTGGTATTTGTAGTTTCGTTTAGTAAAGATTTCTGGACTAGTCTCATTTTATTCTCATTAGCCCACTTTCAAAACAAAAACAAACTTCTTTTAGAAGGCCGTCCACTTAGTTCATACAAGATTACTAGCGTTTCCTTTTTTTTTTCCTTTTTCTTTTTCTTTCATTTTTGTTTGTCTTTTTCAATTTGAGTTCATTTTTTAATTCGGTAACAGAGTCAACTCTCAAATAGTTATTAATGATTGAGGCCTTGAACATATGTGGCTTTTGCTAGTGTTGGTCGGTTCGTCCCTTAGATTTCATTGTAATAAATATGGTAAGGGAGAGACTTGGACAAAAAAATTGGTAGGGGATGATTATTTTCTAATTGAAAGACAGTTTTTTTTATTCTCTATACTAAAGCAAGGATGTTCTTTTTGTCGGAAATTCTCTCTAATGACTCTGTCTTTTCTATAATGAATGATTATTATTTTCATTCATGTCTTTTTTTCTATTAAAACAAATTAATTGCAAAAAAATTTGACGTTTGGCTTGTTGGAATATTTTCTACCCTAATTATTCCACCATTTTATCTCTGTAGAATTCAATATGTTAATTTAGGACAAGCTGAAGGCTTTTTATTTTTGAAATAAAAATTTCAACTATTTTCTCTTCGTAGTATCCATTAGAATTAAATACTTTTTTATTATTTATTTCTCCAAACAAAAATAATAAGGTAAATTTGAGAAATAAGGTAAATTTTTATTGCAATTAATTTGCAAAATGTTACGGCGGCCGACCCGGCCTTGCAATTTATTTGCAACATTTTAAAATGACCCAAATATGTCACAAATATACAGCACAATGTTGAATTCATCGCAAGTCTAGGGCACTACCATGTGACACCTCTTGAAGAAGTGTCGCGAAAGGCCATTTTTCTTGTGAGGTTATGGCCGGCCGGCCTGACCCTGCACTTAATTTGCAACATTTTATGTGTGTATTGTTTTTATTTGAACAACAAAATGAAATAGATTATGAGAATCAAGCTTTCCTTTCCCCGGTTAAAGCCGTACGTTGTCTTCCTATAAATATATACACATCTCATCCCCATTCCTGCCAGATACAATCCAGTTTCATTGTTGCAAAACAGAGTAAAATTAAAGCTTTCTGGCAATTATGAGGCTGGTTGTAATCTTTCTTGTGTCAGTTTTGGTCGCCATGATTCAATTAGGCCATGGCCTTCCTGATGACCAAAGCCCGGAAGCCGTCGAAAAATGGTTGAAACAATTTCCTCAGGCAAAACGCAAATTGACAAAGATTCATTTCTTTCTTCACAACAACCTCACCAAGGACCCTCCGACCACCGTCACGGTTGCTCAGGCCAACAGCACCGCCACTTCACCGACAAGATTTGGCTTGGTCAGCATCATAGACGGCCCGCTGACTGAACAGCCAGATTCAGAACAAACTATTGGTTATTCTCAGGGGTCTTTTTCATTTACCTCACTAGAAGAAAGAAGTTCCCTTTTGGTTAGTAATCTTGTTTTCGTTGCCGGGAAGTATAATGGCAGCACTCTCAGCCTCTTGGGGCGTAATCCGGTGGATGCAAAGTACAGGGAGTGTCCGATCGTAGGCGGCTCCGGCGATTTCCGGATGGCTCATGGGATCACCACAATCAGCACTTACTTTCAAAATTCAACTTCAGGGAATACCATTCTTGAAATGAATTGCATCTTTTATCGTTATGTTACTGATGATGAATGATTGCGATGACTGCCCTAATGGAGTTCAGAGGTTTTTTTTTTTTTTTTTTCTAAAAAAAATGGAAATGCATCCTTTGATCATATGAAAAATCAAATTGGTCTGATCACAGTGTCGTTCAAAAAGTTTTGGGTTAGTTGCAGATGCATCCTCAACTTTCAAGTTTCAATTGTTTTCACGTTGCAATTAACTTCAAACATTTACTCCTCCGTCCCAACAAAAGAGTCTGTTATGTTCTTAGAAAGAAACTTAACCCGATCCTAATATGAATTAGTCGGATATTGATTTTGGATACGAAATACCTGACATACCAAAAGAATTACGAAATAGGAGTACCTAACATACAAAATTATTGTCCAGTTTGCATTTTCACTTTTAGTTCAAATTAAACTTTAGTTCACTTTTACTCCATCGATCCCGCTTTTGTCCACCGTCAGCTTTTTTCGGTAAACTATGCCTGATTTATCACTTCACCACACATCCATTGCAGCCATTGCTTCAATTTTAGTCATTCTTTTGGTTATTGCACCCTGCATCAGAATTTGTATTCCCAATTTTACATCTTCTGGTTTTGGTTGTCATCCAGTTGAAAGTATCATAGCAGAGTGTAATGCATACCAAGTTCATTTTACAATTTTCTTCACTCATCTCCCACAGAATACTGCTTCAGAGGGTATCTAAAATTCCACTGTACTTATCCCTGACACTAATACGTTCTTTCATACACCCAATATTCCAAAGAACAAAAGACCAAAGTGTATTTTTCTCTATTCCAACGTTATTAAGTTTGGCACCTGCCAATTGTCATGTGGCTCTTAATACTAAACTTATATCCCTCAGCAATTTCCAACATTTTTGCTTGTGGATTGTCCAACAAAAAAATTGAAAGCATATTATCAGAATCAAGTTCTCTTTCTACAAATCCTGGATGTAATCTGAATTCTCCACCTCATTAAACTTTGCCAAAATTCAGCCCATATCAACAAGGCCTCAGCTTCAAAAACTTGCAAAAAACAGATCATGAGGCCAGTGATCATCATCTTTCTTCTTGCAATTCTGGTTACCATGATGCCATTAGGTAATGGCCTCCCTGATGACCAAAGCCCGGAAGCGGTCGAAAAATGGTTCCAAAAACTTCCTCAGGCGAAACACCAACTGACAAAGCTTCACTTCTACCTTCACCTAAAATTCACAAGCGATCCTCCGGTGAGCATCCCGGTTGCTCGGGCCAATACCACCGCCAAGTCGCCGACATTATTCGGACAAGTGAACGCGTTGGACGGCCCGTTAACAGAACAACCGGACTCATCAGAAACCATTGGTTATTCCCAAGGCCTGTACTCATCCACCTCGCAAGAAGAAATTAGTCTCCTGGTGACTATGAGTTACGTATTCGTCGCCGGTGAGTATAATGGCAGCACTCTTAGCGTTTTGGGCCGTAATCCGGTGAGAGAAAAGTACAGGGAGATTCCGATTGTTGGCGGGTCAGGTGATTTCCGGTTGGCCCGTGGGTTCTGCACGTATAGCACTCTCTCTGAAATTGCCAACCCGAAGGATGAAATCATTGAAATTACGTGTTTCTTCCACCGTTATGTTATTTCTGGTGGAGATTGAATTGAATGTAACGCAATTATTACATCTTTTGATTACTGTGATCCGTAATTAGCCAAAGATGTTATCATCTATCTTGTTAGTACATCAAAATGTGGTCAAGATTGTTAATAGATCAAATTCCAATTGGACGGATTCATCGTTTGTTGAAGGATTCAATTATCTCTGTTTTGATGCTTTATTGATTCCAATGGACGAAGCCCGTCTCCTGAATTCTTTCAAACTCATGATAAGACCCTTTTATTTTGTTTTCAGTAGGTTTTGAACACTGACTCAGAGTGCTCCTTTTAAAATGTGACGTCTTTCGTCGATCATCAGATCAAGCTCGGAGCCTCTTCTGCACAAAAGTTTATAAAGTTCCTCTGTTCAAAGAGTATTTATCATTAAGAAATGAGTAAAATGACTCCCTTTTTCGAGTTCTCCACATCTATACTTATTATTTCTTCAATTTGTCCATTGATTGCCTGTTTAGCAAAAGATGGCTTGATATCTTCCGAGTATTTGGTAATCATTCATGTTTTCAAGGGATTCTGCAAACATCATCCATCCAATTTCGCACACGTTTTTCAAGAATCAATGTCTTATTGCTTCGCAGGAGACGCGAAAAGGGAGATTATTAGCTCACTACTACTTAGGTATTATATATTTATTAATCTTTCGGTCGTGGCCCTCATAAATTCTGCTTAACTCGCAGAAAAGAGACTAAAAACTAAAATGTGATTGACGACCAGCAATCTAAAACTCATGTTATAGGTCTCGGTACAATTATACAATTATGTATAGTTTTCGTTTCATAATGTCTGTTTTGTTTAAATTTTCATTTCTAACTGCAGATTATATACTCCATACTATTTCCATCCCACAAAAATAGTCCACATCAGTACAAAAATAGTGGACTATTTTTGTGGACTATTTTTATAGACAGAGGGAGTTTAAAAAATTAAACAAGACGATTATTTTGAATATGTGAGAGTAAATATTTGTTCACAAGTGTTTGTCCTTTACAATGTATGAGCATTACTTTTGTCAAGCTGTGGTTTTCTTACACATGAAGGTTTGGTCATTGGTGAACATGAGGCATAGGTTGTTTCTTTTAGACAAAAGTAAAAAAAGTCAAATGGCTAAGAAAAGGTTCATTTCTTGTCATTCAAAATTAATTGCCTAATGTTAAATGATTAATTTATTTTTTTTAATAAAAATGAACTTTTAAATCCCGGATGTAAACATGTAGCGATAATCTGATTTTATTTTTGTTTCCACTTCAAAATAATAACTTTGATAAATTTTGAGTAAAAATTTAAAAAGTTATTGTATAAAGATCGTATATTTATAAAAATAAAATAAAATAAAATAATTTCTTCCACCAACATGAGATCACCGTTAGACTCTCCATTAGTTGGGTTCTATCCAACTTGGGCAAGAACCGGTAGAGTTCTTGTAACAGCTAACTTTAATTTAAGTGGTCAATTGTGGTTCGATAATAGTCCACTGTGGTTCGATAGTGATAAACTGATGATTATAATGTATTTTTATGTTTGAGAGAAGATTCAAAGTGACAAATAAATGGCCTAAAACAACTTTTACTCGTAGGATTTGCAATTGGGTCTTAAGAGCCTGACTATACAATCCACTAATTTATTTACTTTTCTTTAACTTTGATTATTATTTTGGGTTGAAATGAATAATATGGAGTGAAAAGTGAAGGCGTTTGTTTGTCCTCAAAGAGTAAAAATTGTTGTATTTTTGTATATTCGCATAGATGAACATATGGGATTTACAATTGGGTCTTAAGAGGCTGACCATACAATCCATTGATTATTTATTTATTTTAATTTTTAACTTTGAGTACTATTTCAAGCTGAAACAAATAATATGGAGTAAAAAGTAAAGGGGACTTGTTTGTTCTTTGAAACCTCAAAGAATAAAAATTGTTGCATTTTTGTATAATCGCATAGTAGATGAACATATTTTTATATATTGTATTAATATTTTCGAGTCATAAAAAAATCTGTTTGGTTGATTTTTTCAAAAATTTTATTAATAATTGTCCTATTCGAGCATATATTTTTACATTTTCAATAAATCTTAATAGAAAAAGAAAAAAATATATAAATACACACCAGAAAAACGATCCAAATTTCCTAGTTTTACACTGTGTTATCCAGAGTCAAATACTGAGTGTTGAAGTGTGGATGCAAAACTAGGCGTTTTAGGCTTATCAAACTTCCAAAGAGATGGAAAAAGAGTAGGCTTATTAATGTCATCCAAATTTTCAGGGTCTGTACTATCTCCCAATGAGTGGTGAAAAGTTGAAAACTCGAAATGACTAAGGACCAATCTTGTAAAACAAGTTCCGTGAAGAAAGAAATCTCTGGGCCAATTTCGCGAAGCCTTTAAAATATTGGATCAAACGATAATTACAGTTTTGCGAAAACATAAAACCCTACAACTTATATAGTTTTCACTCTCTCTTCCCGCAGCCGGCCGTATCATCTTCTCGCTTTTTTCTCTGCAAACCCTTTCGTGTGTCCTTTCACGAACCACCAGATCTCATCGCTAACTTCTTTGATCTTTTGCTCTTCGCTTCATTACTGCTGCAAGTAAGTCAACGACTTCTCTTCCCCCAATCTGGATTCCCTTTTTTTTGTTTTCATATTTCTGGGTTTCTGATTTGGTTAGGTTTAGCTTTAGGGTTTTGTTCTAATCGCTTCTTTCAATTCGAATCAGTCCCTTGTTCGTCCTATTTTGTGGGTATTTTTCATTATTTAAAGTGACCCTTTTGTTTGTTTGTTTCTTTTTTTTTTTGTTTTGGATGTTAGTCATGGCTGGCTTAGCACCTGAAGGTTCTCAGTTCGATGCGGGGAAATTCGATACCAAGATGAATGAGCTGTAAGTGTTTTTGATGGATTTGGGCTAATTCTTTAATATATCTGGTTGGTATTTTTTTTTTTAGTTGTTGATTTACAGTAGATTAATTTTTCCGGAATCCTCTGTGCTTTGTTTTTGGTTAGATTCGTTTTTAGTCCTTATTCCTGGTTGTTTCATCTACAGGCTTGCTGCTGATGGGCAAGATTTTTTCACTTCTTATGATGAGGTCTATGACAATTTCGATTCAATGGGCTTGCAAGAGAATCTTCTCAGAGGAATTTATGCTTATGGTGCGTTTTGGTGGTATTTTTTTCTGTGTTAGACCGTGTAGGTTAAAAAAATCTTTTAGGAACCTGTTTTGTCATCTGTTTTGTTGGTTGAATGCCAATTTATTCCTGCAACACTCAAAAAAACTCCTTCTGTTAACCTTAGTGTCTACTATGGATTGCCTTATGTGTTAGTTATTCATGGTATATGATGCTGTTTGAAGATCTATTAGTTACTTTGAATGAACAAGGAGTGATTTTTGGAAAAGCTTGAACTGTTATAATGGAATATTAGAATTCTAGGCTACAATTTTTGGTGTTTTTTTTTTCTGTGTTAGGCACGTGTAGGTTAAAAAATCTTTCAAGAATCTGTTTTGTTGATCTGTTTCTTGTTTGTTTTATGCTATTGTCTTCCTGTGACAACAAAGAACAACTCGTGTTAACCTTACTGTCTACTCTGGCTTGCATTATATGTTAGTTATTCATTATATATGATGCTGTTTGAAGATATCTTAGTTACTTTTAATTAAAAAGGAGTATTTTTGGGAAAGATTGAACTGTGATAATGGAATATTAGAATTCTAGGCTACAATTTTATTTGATTTGTTGGATTCTGCTGTGTTTCTTCCTAAGCTTGGGAGTTGAATCAAATCCAAGTTACCTGGCATGTTGTAAATCTGTGATGATTCTTTTTCAACTTTAATTGAATATCTGGTGAATAATCACCAAGTTAGGACTTAGGAGCCCTGTTATAAGTTGTCATGATCAAATCTTGGGGACGTTCTCCAGTGGCACTCTCAGCTTAAATTTGATTTGCCACTGCTTCTATGCTACTATTCCTCTCCAGTTCTGTATGTTTGGTACTTATCAGCTGCATGAATCTTGATGTTGTTTTCTTTTTGGGGCAACTGCTTGTTTTGTTCAACTCTAAAAATTTGTATTGGTTTGGTTCATGTAGCTTACAATCTGATTGCTGGTCTTTGATTTTTGTAATTTAAAGGTTTTGAGAAGCCCTCTGCCATTCAACAGAGGGGAATTGTTCCCTTCTGCAAGGGGCTTGATGTCATTCAACAAGCACAGTCTGGGACTGGGAAGACAGCAACCTTTTGCTCAGGAATCCTTCAACAACTAGACTACAATCTTGTCGAGTGTCAGGCTCTTGTTCTTGCTCCCACCCGTGAGCTTGCCCAGCAGATTGAGAAGGTTATGCGTGCCCTTGGTGACTACCTTGGAGTTAAGGTTCATGCTTGTGTGGGAGGTACAAGTGTCCGAGAAGATCAACGCATTCTCTCTAGTGGGGTTCATGTTGTGGTTGGTACACCTGGTCGTGTGTTTGACATGTTGAGGAGACAGTCTCTTCGCCCTGATAACATCAGGATGTTTGTGCTTGATGAAGCTGATGAAATGCTTTCAAGAGGTTTCAAGGATCAGGTCTCTGGTTTTCAGTTGATATTTCATCATCTCAGCTAGTGCTTTTCTGGTCGTGGTTTTAGCCTAATAAATTTCAATCTAACTTTTGAAAATTTACTAGTTCTGTTTCTTCTGAGAAAGAAATTGATTTTATTTGTTCTGGTATTATGTGCCTCTAATATTGTTAACCTGTTTTGGTGCAGATTTATGATATCTTCCAGCTTTTGCCACCTAAGATTCAGGTTGGTGTGTTCTCCGCCACCATGCCTCCCGAGGCCCTTGAGATTACCAGAAAGTTCATGAACAAGCCTGTCAGAATCCTGGTCAAGCGTGATGAGCTTACCCTTGAGGGTATCAAGCAATTTTACGTCAATGTTGAAAAGGAAGATTGGAAGCTTGAAACACTTTGTGATCTTTATGAGACCCTTGCCATTACCCAGAGCGTCATCTTTGTTAACACCAGGCGTAAGGTGGATTGGTTGACTGACAAAATGCGCAGCAGAGACCACACAGTTTCAGCTACCCATGGAGACATGGATCAGAACACCAGGGACATCATCATGAGAGAATTCCGTTCTGGTTCCTCTCGTGTGCTGATCACAACCGACCTTCTTGCTCGTGGTATTGATGTGCAACAAGTCTCTCTCGTTATTAACTACGACTTGCCCACTCAGCCCGAGAACTACCTTCACCGTATTGGTCGAAGTGGACGATTTGGAAGGAAGGGTGTTGCGATCAACTTTGTGACTCGCGATGATGACCGCATGCTGTTTGACATTCAGAAGTTTTACAATGTAGTAATTGAGGAGCTGCCAGCCAATGTGGCAGATCTTCTTTGAAGAGGTTTTTGGTTGTGGCAAGGTAAATTTTATCTTGTTTGGATTTCTATTACTATATCTTAATTGGTAGGGGTTTTAGAGTAAGAATTGTGCACCAGACTTAAAAATTGGAATGTGCCGGGGTTGCTGGCATTTCTCCGATTGGTTTAAGGTCGGAACTCAGTATTCAGAAATTTTGTTGGGTTGTCTTTTGTGTTGTAAGTGCTCAATACTGCAGATCTGGAGGTTGTTTGAATTTATATTTTATTTCTACAAAAGTCTGACTTTTGTTTGCTTATTACTAGGATTTAAGCAATGCACAGTTTAGGATTTGTGTTTTGCATTGCACGATTTAATTTGTTGGCTAGTCTTTCCATGTATCAAAATGCCGTATCACTGGGCAGATGTCTCATTTAAGCTTGACAAGACTTTGCAAACAAATTGAGACTAGAATCAGTGTGATGGCATAGCCTGTTTCCAATGCAAAATCTGACGTTTTATATGACTAGTAATTGGAACTTGGCAAGTGTTCTATGCAAAATCTGAAGTTTTCATGTGTAGTAATGGGAACTTGGTAAGAGTGTTGTCCAACATTTTTGAGGGATGCGTTTATAATTTACTTCTGGGACACAGGAATTTTTCTGGGATGTATGCGATGCACGACAAGCATTTCTGTGTCGCTATCTTTGATTATGTTTCACAGCTGTAGTGGTTGCTGATGGTACTAGAATTGTTCAGAATCATTTGCTTATGGGCTTCCAAAAGCAGTTTGTACATGGGCCTCGTTTTTCAAAACAACGTTTTCAAAACAGTATTTGCATATCCGTTTGTATAGGTGGCTTAGTGTTTATTGGCCGTCAACTTACATTTCATTTTGCCATTTAAAAGTGGAAAATGTTTCAAATTAAAAATTAAATAAGAAATAAAAATGTTGTTTGGATGATGATTTTGAAAAAAAGTATTTTGAACTATATTTTGAAATATCAAGTACAAGTCATCACGAAATAATTAAATATTGTCAATTATAGTTATTGTAGAAAAGAGATTTTTCAAAAAGAATTACTCAACAACGAAATCTTGCCAAATTTGTAGATCTAAAATGGTCATTACATTAACAAAAAGTGTTTCAAGTTGGAATTTAAAATATAAATCAAAAAATTATTTGGATGATGTTTTCTTTTCCATTGGATTTTGTGTTTAAGAGGTAAAATGAGATAAAATGCAAAATAAAAAGTTGGCCGAACAAAGCCAAAACAGCAATTTTTACATTCCGACCATAATCTAATATAGCCCTTTCTAGCGGTGGTCATCAAAGTTTGGGTCAGGCGCCCCCTGCGAATATTACTGTCTGTAAATGGCTTGAACTGTGTATATATGGTTTTCTTTTGAATTGTTGCTTGTTGCCAATACAATATCCTTCCACCCTCATATAATGTTCAATACTTAGCATTTTTAATGCCTACGATTATGACGGACAAGCGGGTGACAACGTTATTAATTATTAATTATAGCGCGGTCATGTAAAGATGTTTATATTTGTGAATATCATGTTCATGTAAAGATATTCTAGGAGGAAACAACAAAATCAAGGCGTGGGATCAAAATTTCTTTTCGGTTATTATTTGTCGTATTAATATTGTGAAAATATATGTTTATGTTTGTGAATACCGTGGTCAAGTAAAGATATTTTAGGAGGAAGCAACAAAATCAAGGTGTATGATCAAAATTTTTTTTCGGTTATTGTTTGTCGTACTAATATTGTGAAAATATGTGGATATTTGTAATCGTGCAAAACATTTTGTTGAAGTACAAAAAAGTACGCGCCCAAATCCTAAATGTAGTAAACTAAAAGTGATTAGTAGGTTTAATTAAGACAAAAGTTGTTAAAAAATGGAGACTGGCTGAAAACAGATGATATTTCGACCTTACATCATCGCTGTACAAAACCATGCGTTTGCCGGGAGTCGAACCCGGGTCTATTGCTTGGAAGGCAATTATCCTAACCGTTGGACTACAAACGCCTTCTACATTGGAAGGAGAATAGGTGAAATTAATAAATATTAAAAAGAAAATTAGAGGTTGACCATACTATAAATTGAAAGTGTGTTTTAAGTTCAAAACAGTCTTTATTTTGAACATTAAACTTAGAAAATCCGATTTTACGAGGGTCCAATATCAACTTCCCGTCCGCCCCTCAAAGTTTTTAGCAGTCGTGTTCTTAACGATATCTATTAACGATTTTTGTCTTTATCATTATACCATATATATGTACTTCATGCCATATAGCAAAGGTTATCGGACGGAAAAAAAAGAAGAAAGATAAACGTGTATATATCCAACAAACGGAGTGAATATATTTGAAAAGTATGAGGTTAAATTAAATGTATATATATCCAACAAACAGACTGAATAAGAAAGATAAGAAAACCGACCTCTTTCTTTAATTTAGTTTTTAATTTTTTTTTTTGAAGGCAAACATCAATTTCCATTTTCACAACTCGATTGCTTGATGAAAATCTAAGCTAATAATATGTGTTGTTTCTTTGAGCATGAATGGGATTAATCATCCTCTTAGACTAGGCTAGCTATGCATTTCTATTCATCTGATTAAGTTGTGCCTTCAAAAATCCTAAAGTAAAAGTGTAGGGATTAGAAGCTATTTCTCCCTCCATTGCGGTCCCCTTCTTGCTAGGCTCCTCAGCTGTTTGTAGATTTTGCATTGGTGCTGTAACAAAAGTACACAAGCTGTTTCTTTCACCGTCATTTTTATTTGTTTGCTGTGAAGCATTTGATGATTGTTTGCTTTGAGATGGCACCAATTCACCACTTCTGTTGCTCCCCATTTTTTGTTTCTTCAACTTCCATTCATTTGCAGCTGCATTTCCATTTTGATGTGCATTATTTGCATTTGAGTGCTCCAAAGCTAACACAACTGGAATAGCCCCTCTCACATTCTCCTCTTCTTCATCCTCCATCCAAAACTCCTTCCTCATTCTTCCATGATGATGATTTTGCATCATCACTTTCTCGTTTTCCTTAACACTTCTAGCATTAATATAATCTTCCTCTTTTCCTCCTCCTACTCTTCCAACGTTTCCGAAAAGGCTCATTCTTGAAGAAGTTGCCCTCTTAAATTCATCATTAGGGTGATTTGGAGGAGCAGCATAAGATGATAAATTTGTCTGGCTAAGCGAATTAGGGCAACTTTCCGCCATTCTTTGGATCTTTTGATTGGCGATTCTTTGCGCTGTTGGTCCCAAATCCTTGACGAATGACAACAAGCTTTTGGTGTAACTAATATCCTGTCAATCATTTGTCCACAAATTCCAAGTACAAGTGAGAAACTTAAATATATGAACAGTCAAAGAAACATTAAAATGTACTAGCAAATTGGTAACATACAGGGATTACTATTGCATTGGAGAGGAAGCTTCTTAAACCAAATGGATCATTGTCATCACAGCTATTTGGTTTATACGTGCACCGGCGATTAATTTCCACCGGATTGGACTTCTCATCATCTAATATTCCTGTTTGAGATCCTGGGAGAAATAAGTAATTACCACATCAACATTCCAACAAAATGACCTAATATTTTTCCTATTCACCAAGAAATTGAAGTAACGAACCATAATTGTTCTTTCTTTTAGTCTGAAGGGTCAAGTTAGATCTTATCCTCCTCCTAGTAAGGCTTCTTCCTCTCCTCGCATTTACAGAAGAAACAGAAGAAGTGGTTGTATTAGGAAAGGTGGTGGCGGCCGGCGTTGTTCTTCGAGTGGACCGCCTTCTTGTGCTCGGAAATTTCAGCTCAAAGTTTTGAGGTGAAGTCATTAGAACATGGAATATCCTTTTCGCTAATTCATGTATAGCACGGGCCTAAAACATGGCCATACATTATTTCAAAGTTGAGAGTTTAGTACTACTTAATGAAAACAAAGATTTTGTTCAAGATGTGTGTTATGTATGAGAGAAAAATCAGTTACCTGTCTGAAAAAAATTGTGGTTGAAGAATTAAAATGCATAGCATTTCTTGTGATCAGAAATACGTCATGCTGCAAAACAATCATGATAAACTAATAATAGGAAATAATTATGAAGTATGTACTGATCAAAATGTCTGATATCTCACTTATTATATATCAATCGTATCTCATTAGTAAATGATATTATTTTACTCAAATTAAATTTATGCATTCTGGATGAACGAATTTTGTTAGAAATAAAATTACTCTATTCACTTAGCAAAGGATCAGAGAAGTAATTGAGACATAGTGAGATTAAGGAAAAAGACCTTAAATTGATCAAGATTTTGGTACATCCCTTCGTGAAGTTTTGCTCGCATTGTTCCAAAATCCATAGGCTCTTTCACGATTTCATAGTAATCCTCCACCTACAAGCATATGCACATTTCAAAAGAAAAAAGAAACAAAAAAAAGCTTCAAATCCATTAAATTACATATATATAAAGGTGGAGAAATGAAAAAGATGGTAACAAAAACCTCATTTGGGTCAACTGGTTCTGCAAATATTTCATAGGTATCTCTCCTGATAAATACGTCACCCAAAAAATGAATTAAAATTTATCAAAGAACAATGCAAAAATAATAATAATTAAATGAATTTCACATTAAACTAAATGCAAAAATAGTTTTTTTTTTCCAATTAACATAAAATGGTGAACAAATATATACAAAATTTCACGAAATTTTATACGAGGCCTCACCGTTGGAGGATATCAATGACGAGTTGAAGTACACGTTTTTCCGGGAGTTGACCACCCTCATCACGACTTGAATCCCGGCGGTCAGCCTCATCGCAGCTGCATCCTTGTTTTTGCTTTGATTGCTGTTCCTCCTCCTCCTCCACCTGGTTGGCGGCGGTATTCGCATCTGTACCGCCAGAACGGTTGCTGCAGGTGCAACCAGAAGTCATCTTCTGTTTTCCCCGCCGCGAGTAAGCATGAATATAGCGGTTACTGTCCGCCGTCGTCTTTTTCTTTTCCGGCATGTACTTTTTTTTGTTTTTATATAAAAAAGAAATAGAATAGAATTTCGAGTCGGTCTCAAAATTTCAACTTCAAATTCTGAAAATTTTATCTGCAGCTTCACCACGAATTTTTCTATGGAGATATAGAGGTTATATGGTCATTAATTTGTCCCAAAAAGGAAAAGAAAATGTTGAATATTGAATTCCGGATTTATTACTAAATCTATATACTTACTATATATTCTACAATATCTTTTCCTTTAATTATTTCCCTTTTATGACAAGACTGGTAACTAAATTAATTAAATTTCTGTCTCAATACTACTAATTCAGTTTGTCTGTAATAGGTACTACTTACTAATGTAACGCAGGAACGTTTATAACGATTTCTAATTAATAAGATAGTAGATTACCATTTTAGAACCAAAAAAAAAAAATGATGCTTCGTAATAAAGTTGTAAATGCATGGATTGCCATTTGCCATGCATCTAGGCACGTAATGTCAGTATGAATATCATTTTTTCCACTGCTTTTTTTGGTATCTTATTCAGTAGTTATATTAGATTCACTTAATTTCAAAAGAAAAAAAAGTAGAAATACTACAGCCTTAAAGTAGAATTATATTTTACTTTTATAATTACATGCTCGGTGGTAAAAAACGTGCAAGCACGCACGACTGTGTATAGAAGCATTGTTGTAAATTTACGTTACACACGTATATACACTTTTAACAGCAATTAAAATGGTCATAATCATGAATTAAGCCAGTTAGGCATCTTAAGATTATGGTTGTGATTGATTTCTATGAAAAGATTGGTCAGTTTTTTTTTTTTTTAAAATAAAATTGGATGACCCAACGAGAATCGAACCCTCGACCTCCTCCTGGTAACAATCATCCCAATCCTAATCCCCTAACCACCCCACCCAATCCTCCCACTCCGGATTGGTCAGTTTTGTTATATTTATTTCTCAAAATAATCCTCCGATAACTGTTAGGCTAGAACGGGGAGAATACTGATTTGAATACTTTTATCAGTACTAAAGAAACATCATAAAGTAGAGACTTTTCTCTCTTTTCTTTGAATGATGGGAAAAAGGATTGGGAATCTAAGTAGTAGCGAACCTAAGAAATTGAACAAATGAAAATCCCGAATTTTATCAAAACACATTGCAAATTCCCCCCCTAATCATTCCAACTTTTTAGCTTTGATATCCATAATAGTTGAATCCATTTGACAGTTCCAGCGCAGTTCTATGTACTTGACAACTTCGCCATCAATCTCTTGATAGCGTAATTGACAGCTTCAATATCTTTCTGTTCAGCGCAAAAGGTTCATTGGCAAAACAGTCTCCATCGCATCAGATAATTTCAAGTTGGCCAATAGATAATCCCTATGACATTAACAATTTAATTGGGATTGATTGGCTCAATATTTTCTCTAATACTTTGGCATTACAGTTTGCATAATTTGGCTAAAGAAGCTGGTTTGTGCCCTGTACGCTAAGAAAATTGGGCCAATATTGAGTCATTAATAATTACGTTGGGAACGTTGGGCCAAATTGAGCTACCAATTTTGGCCCGCGGGAAAAGGTGCAATGAAGTTAAAAGGCCAGAGCCACCAGTTCCCCATCCCCTAGGTAGGAAAACGCCGATGTGGGATTTGTTCCCACACACAGTTAAATACGCCCGTTTCATGTTTAAAACTTATTATGTATTTTAAATTTTCATTTCTAATATAAATATACTAAACGTGAAAACATGCCGATTTCACACTGACCAGTGACCACAAAAACTAATTTTTATAAAAATACCGATCAAACAACAGAAAATAAAACTGGTGCTACACCCTCTGTCACAACTTTCCTCCACCTCCCTGCTTTCCTCCACCTCCCATAACAGGCTAACAACTTAACTAGAAGTCAATCCCAAATTGTTATTATATGCTGGAGCTTGAATTCAGGAAACAAAAATATAAAGCTCGATCTTCACTCGTATGATATGCTCATTCTGTTCTGAGATTATTGTTCAGTTTGGATTTTCATTTTTAGTATAAATGCAGTGAAAATCTAATCTGAATAATAATGTTGAGATAGAAGAAGTAAATGAAAATGAGAAACTAATCATAATCCAAGTCTTCCTTTCTCGAAAGCTAATTAATATGCAAGTTTGACTGTTCGAGGATCTCTCAAACCTCTTAGTTTGGTTTTCGAATGTCAAACTTTTACTGTTGATGCACAAAAATAACGATTGAATTAGCAATATGTGAAACGCACCTATTTTATGTAGATTAAATCACAAGAAAAAAAAAATCTTAACATCCTCGTTTCGCCAAAGAACATATTGTGAAGTTTTTGGGGGGACGACTGTGTTTGTCTGTTAGTGAACAAGTGTTTTTTTTCAGAAAAAGAATAAATGTTTTTCACGTGGAAGTGAACCTAGTACGCTGTTTTTTGGGAACTGGCAAAGCAATTGTACGTCGTCAAATTTCGTCATATATTCTCGTTTATTTTAAACCAGAATTTTCCTCGCTCTGATCCATCGCTGGATCAAAATTTCTTGCCGAAACACAATGAGTGCGGGAATATTTATATTTTAGATTAGGAACTTTTAATCGTCATTTAATTTTACTCTTTATTCTCTTTGATGACATGTCTAATCGTCACTTGAAATTATATGTAGCTAAAAGTAGTACAAATTGGAATTATGTCCAGTTATAAATTCAGTTTAAACAGAATTTGGATTTATATGTATTATTAATTAAGATGATAAAATTCAGGACCACGGGAAAAAAAAAAAATTATGAGGTTTATAATGAGCCACGGGCTGAAAAATTTTATGTACACATAATAAGACATTATATCATAAGTACAAAGAATACTTAATCACACGAGAAAAACGTAGTCTAAACTCTAAGGTACTTATCCATGGTCCCAAATCCAGCCACTCTCGAACTGTACATCTGGAACGATCAAGATCGAAAATTCGAAATCGATAAGATTTTTTTTTTTTTTTGTTTTACAAGTTGAACTGATCCTTTTTATACAAGCGATTTTCCTTTGTGATCATCATATTCTTTTGCAGTACTGTTACGATATCACCTAGGGTTTGCTTAGGGTTTAATAAATATAATGTAACTACAAGTATTTAACCTAGTTACTGTACTTTACGGTGATCTAATACCGTTGAATTATGCATAAAACAAATTTTAGGGTGATTTAATAACGTGAAAGCGAAAAATCAAGAAAGCTTTGGCCGTTTCATCCATCTTTCTTCCAGTTAAACTTGTTCTTTGTTTAGTAAGCAAAAAATTACGTGAAATATGAGATCGAGTTGCGATTGATACCTAAATTTAACCAATCAATCCGTATCATAAGTTTATTTATGAGACCCAACCATAAAATAAAACCACATTCAAGAGGCATGTACGATTATCTATTTCAACAAAACGGGTGCCAGAAAAGTGAAAACCATGGATATACGATTTCTTCTCTCATAATAACTCGTACACTTTTCCTGCTAATCGATCATTTTCTTGCAAACTTGAACATACTTAGACGTGTGAATGATTTACTTTGTTGAACTATTTTAATTTAATAAATTGAACAATTTTTTTGAGATAAGAGTAGAAAATCAGGTTGTAAGACAGAAATTTAGAATCTCGGCGATAAATCATTCGCTTCACCTTACCTAGTACTTCCAAATAAATGCTAGTTATTGTCAGCGAGACACTGAAAAAACATAGTACTCCATTATATCGTGTGAAAAACATGTGGAAAGAAGTTGTTTTCTTATTTTTTTTTTAAAATTTCTTTCGGTGTAATTGATAAAAGTTTAAATGGTGAGTATGGAACGGAAAAAGTATATGATTGAATAATTGCATCGTCCTTCTAGTCTCGACAAAAAAATGCAAACTTGTACGAGTTAAAATGACATCTTAATATGTAAGTAAGAAAAACGGGCAAAAGAGAGGGACATGCATGTTGCCCTTGTACCATGGCGCAAGTCACATCATATTCAAATTTAGTGCTCTATCTATTTTATAAAAATAGTCTACATTATACTAAAAATATATTATTTACCGATTATAATGTCCACTATTTATGTTTATTCTGCCACTCTACAAAATAAACTTATTTTTGAATTTAACTTAACTAAAAGTTGCAAAAAAATTAATTAACTTTATTAACGGAGAGTCACTTTTCGAAATTAACTTCATCTTTCAAGTTTTGACCATAACACCATCCAACGAATAAACACGTCTAAAAGAAATTACTTTTGTTTGTATACTCAAAAAATTAAAATATTATATAGTATTATAGTTCTGTGAATAAATTTCTATCCGCCATAATAATTATGCAACAACAGAAAAAAAAGTGTTTTACAGTTTTTTGGAAAATATCCAACTGTACCCATATTGAAATCTCTCTATATAAATCCACATTCAGTCTTTCGTTGCTCCTCGCACAAACAAGAGAAAGACTTTCAACTACTACAAAATTCATATCCGCCGGCGAAGATGATGAAAATCATGTTAGCAGTTCTTTTGGCGATTATGGTCATGAACATGGCCTCATTAGGTCAAGCCATCCCGGACGACCAAAGTCCGGCGGCGGTCGAAAAATGGTTCCGGCAGTTTCCCTATGCAGTCCCTAAGTTGACAAAACTCCACTTCTATCTCCACAACATCGTCAGCGAGAGTCCTCCGGACAGCGTCCCGATTGCTCAGGCAGCCTCCACCGCCAATTCACCGACGAAATTCGGCCTGGTCACCATCTTAGACGGTCCATTAGCCAATAGACCGTTCTCGAAAAACGTCATTGGATACGGTCAGGGGCTATTCACTTTGTCCTCACAGGAAGAGTCGAGTACACTTATCACGGTAAATTTCGTTTTCACCGCGGGTAAATACAAAGGTAGCACTCTCAGCGTCTTGGGGCGTAACGTGGTGTTTGCCCCCATCAGGGAATTCCCCATCATTGGCGGAACCGGTGATTTCCGGCTGGCGCGTGGAGTCGGCACGTGTACTACAAACTATCTTAACTCGACCTCCGGAGACGATATTCTGGACGTTAATTTTGTGTTCTACCGTTACGTTCTTCCTGGTCAAGAAGAGTCTGACTCTGAGAATTATGAAGAAGAATGAACATTCTGATGTTTCTCCCCCTTTTTTTGTTTTTTTTTTAGAGGCCTTATTCTAGGGCAGGGCTGGGCAGGAACAAGAGGAGATGTCCTTCCCATACTTAATTTTATCATATGATCAATAAAATTGTAGCCCGAAGGATCGACATCTATAAGTTTGTGAGTCGGTCTCACTTGGTATCCGGGCTTTTGTCCTAGGAAGCAGTTGGGCATAGTCCAGTTGGTTGTTTGTGTTTCTCTGAGCTTAATAAAATTGTACTTCTTGTTTGTTTCTTCAGTGGTTTGGTTTTGCAATTGGTGCGCAGTCTAGCAGCTGTATAACTCTGTGCAGGCATAATTTGTCATGACTAATTTTATTCTGAAGTTCACCAAACTTTTGCAATGAATATTGAAAAAATGAATTATCAGTTTATCACAATATATAATACTCATTTCGTCCCGAAATTATTATTCAGTTTATGTTTTCATTTTTAGTTATACTTCGTCCCGAAATTATTGTCCAGTTTGGACTAAAAATGAAAACTCAAACTGAACAATAATTTCGGGACAGAGGGCGTATTTTATAATCCTTCCTCACTTACTAATTGAACTTTAGGGTGTGTATATTAACCATAATTGAATTGTTTAGTCACTTTTAATCCCTTGAAGCCTTGAAATTTGGTAAGAGTTTTTTTTTTTTTTTAAAGAAAAATAAGTCTTAATAATGACACTAGTATATTCTCTTGCAGAGCACTAATTATGTCGCGTTTTAATCATAATTAATACTATCTCTGTCCAAAAAAAAACCCACATAAAGTTTGGAGATTTGTAACGTTTTAAATACAAATTTGAAGTTCAATATGGACTACTTCTTTGAGACAACAAGTGTCATATTGGAAATCATATAAACGTTAAAACTCTCTTAATATAGTCGTTGTAAAGAAAATAAAAAAAATTGTCACGTAATTTGGCTCTATTTAAATATTTCTCATCTTCGGTTTAACATCTCCCCGGTTATAGTAATCCACCATTCACTCTCCATCTTCACTACGTAGTATCTGTTACGGTATATGTATATATATTTGTATAGGGTTAGTTTCGTCCTTTGTACGTACTAGGGTTTCCACCGTAAACCCTAAATGATGTGTATATATAGTCCCTCTGTGGACCGATCAATACAGTATCATATTTTATGCCGGCCATTTAGTTTGTGTCATGGTATCAGGCTAGGTTTTTCTGCCGCACTTTTTTTTTTTTTTTTCTTTCTGCCGCCGAAAATTTTTTTTCTTGGCCGTACCTCTGTGCTGTCGTTGTTGTCGTTGTCGTGTTGTGTGCTTTGCTGTCGTTGTTGTGTGCTTGTGCTGCAACTGTTCTTCATCGGCCGTCGCTCAACTCCGTTCTCTGCCATTCGTCGCCGTCAATCGTGCGTGTGTAGGCTTGCCGTCCGTATACTGTCGGTGGCTACGTTCTCTCCTCGCCATCCGTTGTCAGGCTTGTGCTTGCCGCCGTCCTCAGCCGCCGCCGATTTCTGATAATTTGTTTTCTGTCTGGTTTCTGATCATCCGTTGTCAGGCTTCTGATCATTTGTTTTCGCCCTTCGTTGTCAGGCTTGTTCGTACTGCCAGCCGGTTTCTGTCCAGTGGTTTCTGATCCATTTAGTCAAAAAAAAAACCCTCGCCATCTTTGCCTCATGGTGCACGGTGCTGAAGAATCCAGTACTCCATCTCCCACCCTTTTTTCCGCTGGTACTGCTGCTCCGCCGCCGGTTCCCGATGTTCCGAAACGTCGTATGATTACTCCGTACGACCTTACTGCCGGTGACAATCCAGGAATGCCGATCACTCAGGTTATGTTGAAGACTGATAATTATGATGAATAGTGCTGTGCTGTTCGTACTGCCTTGCGAGGCGTAAGAAATTTGGTTTGGTTGATGGCTCGCTTCCTCAACCGCCAACGACGTCACTCGATTTTGAGGATTGGTGGACAAACTAATCTTTGATTGTTTCCTGGCTGCGTAATTCCATCGAGCCATCCGTTCGTTCCACAATTCCTCACCGTGAAGTTGCTTCGGTTCTCTGGACGGATCCGCATGAACGCTTCGGCGTTGTGAATGGTCCCCGGATTCAGTAGCTCAAGACCGATCTAGCGAATTGTAAGCAGAAGGGTTTGAGCATGCCGGCTTATTACGGTCGGCTTCAGCTGCTGTGGGAAGAGTTAGCCAACTACGAACCACTGCACTCCTGTTCTTATAGTTCTCCCGCCATCCTTGCAGAATCGGAACAGTGCCGGGAATCTGAGAAGCTGTATAAATTATTCATGGGACTGGATGCCTCCCTGTATGGCACGCTTCGGTCGAGTTTGCTCTCTCAAGACCCGCTGCCCACTGTCAATCATGCCTATTCGTTGCTTGTACAGGAAGAGCGGCTGCGGTCCATCTCCAATGGGACTGATGAAGTTGCAGCTGATGCTCTGAGTTTCGCGGTTCAAGCTCCAAGGTCTGCCCAGCTTCCCACTCCAACGTCCAGCTGGTCTACTTCTCGGTCTCGGTCTGACTCCAAACCGATTGAGCCGAAAGCCAAGTCGATAATTTGCACTCACTGCTCCAAACCGGGTCATGACATTTCCAGTTGTTTTGATCTTATCAGATATCCCGATTGGTGGCCTAACTCTCGCCGGGATTCAAGTGGTTCGGCTGGCCGTGGCTCGGTTGGTCGTGGTGGTAGTTCCTCCGGTCGTGGGCGTGGTGCTGGTTCGGGTCGTGGTTTGGGTAGCTCTGTTGGTCGAGCTAACGCTACTATTATACCCGGTTCATAGTTTGTTGGCTCTGTGGTGATTGATTCGGATAAAAGTGTGGTTACTGGTCTTTCTCCGGATCAATGGCAGACTTTAATCTCCATGCTTGATACTCATCACAAGTCGAGTAATACACTCTCTGGTAAGCCTTATTCTCATGATTGGATGTTTGATTATGGGGCTTCACATCCTATGACGGGTTTTTTGGCTTTCTTGACGGATTTGAGGGCTATTTCTCCTCGTCCAGTTCAGTTACCTGATGGTTCTATGACTTATGCATCGTAGTCGGGTGTTGTTCATTTGAGCCATTCTGTCACGTTGCACAATGTCCTTTATGTTCGGCTTTGAAGTGCAGTTTGATTTCTCTATATCATTTATTAGAGGATTCTCGTTCTGTTGCACAGTTTACTAATAAATTTTGTGTTGTTCAGGACCGTACATCGAGGACTCTAATTGGCGCGGGAGAACAGTTGGGGGATCTCTACTTCTTTCGTGGCTTGTCTTCTGCTCGGACTTCTCATGTTGTTTCCCCATTTTATGGCATCAGCGGTTAGGGCACCCTTATGTGAAGGTTTTAAAGCAGTTGTCTCTTTTTGATTCTAGTAGTCCTGTTTTGAATAAATCTTGTGACATTTGTTTCCGAGCTAAACAATCTCGTGAATCTTTTCCCATTAGTACTTCTAAAAGTGTTGAACTTTTCTCTTTAATTCACTGTGATTTGTGGGGACTTTATCGTACTCCTACTTTTAGTGGTGCTCGTTATTTTTTGACCATCGTTGATGATTTTTCTCGTGCTACTTGGTTATATCTTCTTGATGATAAGAAATCTGTGCCTACTAAGTTATGTGAGTTTTTTGCCATGATTCACAATCAATTTGGGAATTCTGTCAAAATTGTTCGTAGTGATAATGGTTCCGAGTTCTTGTGTCTGGGTTCCTATTTTCGTCAAAAAGGAATTTTGCATGAAACGTCCTGTGTTGGTACCCCTCAACAAAACGGTCGTGTCGAACGTAAACACCAACACATTCTTAATGTCGCTCGTGCCCTACTTTTTCAAGCTAATCTTACTATTCCTTTTTGGGGTAATTGTGTCTTGACTGCTGCCTACTTAATCAATCGCACTCCCTCTTCTGCTTTAAATGGGAAGACTCCTTTGAAATTCTGTATGGTAAACCTCCTTCTCTTCACCACTTGCGTGTTTTCGGGTGCCTTGGTTATATGCATAATCTTTCTCGCGGGGGTGATAAATTCACTCCCCGTGGTCGCAAGTGTGTTTTTGTGGGTTATCCATTTGGTAAAAAGGCCTGGTTGGTTTATGATTTTGAATTACGTAAGTTTTCTATTTCTCGGGATGTTGTTTTTTGTGAGACTGAATTTCCTTTTACCAGTTCTTCTTCTGTTTTATCAGACTCTCCTTCTCCTCCGGTTCCTAGTTTCTCTCCTTTTTTTGATGACGATGATTTACCTCCTTCCGAACCGGTTTCTGTTGCCCCCCAGTTTATCCCTCTTTGCCTGCATCACCTCCCCTTTCAACTCTGGCTTCTCCTATCTCGTCTCCTTCCTCTGAGGGGTCACCCACCTTGTCTTCCACACCCGAGTCTTCTTCTGCGTTTCCTGAACTATTGGGTCGTGGTCATCGTACTAAATTTCCTTATACTCGTCTTCATTGTTTCGCTCGCCATCTTAACTCTCCCTCCGCTGCTCACTCACCTACTCAGTCCTTAGGTACTCCTTATCCTATAATACATTTTGTAAACTGTGATTCTTTTTCACCCTAGCATCGAGCTTTCTTGGCAGCCATTACTGCAGGCGTTGAGCCTCGGTTCTTTCATGAGGCCATGCAGGATGCCAAATGGCGTTCTGCCATGCATGGTGAGATACGTGCTTTGGAGAAAAATCGCACCTGGGAAGTTACTTCCCTTCCTCCTGGCAAGTGCGCCATTGGTTGTAAGTGGGTGTTTAAGATAAAATATAATGCTGACGGTTCTGTTGAGCGCTATAAGGCTCGTCTGGTTATCCTTGGTAATAATCAGGTTGAAGGCATTGACTACCAGGATACTTTTGCGCCTGTTGCCAAAATGGTCACTGTTCGTACCTTTCTGGCTGTTGTTGTCGCCAAAAAATGGGAGCTTCACCAGATGAATGTCCATAACGCCTTTCTTCATGGTGATCTACATGATGAGGTTTATATGAAATTTTCTCCTGGTTTTTGCACCGGCACTTCTGGTCAGGTGTGTCGGCTTCGTCGGTCTTTGTATGGTCTTAAACAGGCTCCTCGTTGCTGGGGTGCTAAGCTTGCCCAGGCTTTAAAGCAGTATGGTTTTGTGCAATCTTCCGGTGACTACTCTTTGTTTACCCTTCATCGTGGTTGTATTTCTCTCAGTCTGTTGGTATATGTTGATGATCTTGTTTTGGCTGGTAATGATCATGTTGCTATTATTGCTTTCAAACAGTATTTGAGTACTTGTTTTCACATGAAGGATCTGGGCCCTCTTAAGTACTTCTTGGGTATTGAGGTTTCCCGTAATTCGTCTGGCATATTTTTATGTCAACGAAAATATACTTTGGATATTCTCTCGGAAGTTGGTCTTTTGGGTGCGAAACCTGTTACTTTTCTCATGGACCAGAATCATCAACTTCCTCTGGCTGAGGGTTCTCCACTCTCTGATCCTGAGCCGCATCATCGTCTGGTTGGTCGGTTGATCTATCTTGCTGTCACCTGTCCTGATATCTCTTACTCGGTTCATATGTTGGCTCAATTCTTGCAAGCTCCACAGCAGGCTCATTGGGAGGCTGCTCTCTGGGTTGTTCATTATTTTAAACTGCATCCAGGTCAGGGTATTTTGCTTCGTGCAGATTGTGACCTCCAGCTCTATGGTTGGTGTGATTCTGATTGGGCTAGTTGTCCTCTGTCTCGGCGTTCTCTCACTGGCTGGTTTATTACTCTTGGTGCTTCTCCTATTACTTGGCAAACTAAGAAGCAGCAAGTTGTCTCTCGTTCGTCTGCTGAGGCTGAATATCGTGCTATGGCTAATACTGTCTGTGAGTTGAAGTGGTTAAAGGCTTTGTTACTGAGCTTGGGTGTTCGACATTCTCACTCTATGCGCCTTCCTTGTGATAGTCAGTCTGCACTTCATCTTGTTGCTAATCCGATTTTTCATGAGCGTACTAAGCACATCGATGTTGATTGTCATTTTTTGCGTGATGCGTTTATTCAGGGGGTCATTTCACCCACTTATGTTCCCATCGCGTCACAGCTCGCTGATATTTTCACTAAAGCTTTAGGTCAACGGCAGTTTTCTTATTTTTTTATCCAAGTTGGGCATTCGAAACCCGCATGCTCCATCTTGAGGGGAGTGTTATGGTATATGTATATATATTTGTATAAGGTTAGTTTCGTCCTTTGTACGTATTAGGGTTTCCACCGTAAACCCTAAATGATGTGTATATATAGTCCCTCTATAGACCGATCAATACAGTATCATGTTTTATGTCGGCCATTTAGTTTGTGTCAGTATCCTATCGACTTCCCAAAACCCAAGTTCTGCATGCTAAATTTTCTCCTTCGGTTTATGAGTACGTTGATATTTTGACGTCCGAATCGGGCACTCATTTTTGATTAGTTTCATTACTCTATGTATCAGTTCGTAATTGAACTGAGTCCATATTACAAAAAGCATAAAGCTAGAGGACCACCCGCTTGGAAGATTGTCAAGCATGGTGCACGGAAACCTTTCGCTACATTGAAACTGTATCATTCTTCGGGTTCCAACATTTACTACTTCCGTCTCATTCTAATTGAGTAGTGAGTACAACTAAAAAAAATTACTTTCTCAGTCTTAAAAATGTTATCGATTTTTATTTTTTCGAAAAATTAAACCAAAACTAAAATAAAAGATTGGAAGAACTAACTAAGCAAGAACACTGTTTAAAGAAGTACGTAGTCCAAGACCACAGAGAGACACAAGCATTTAGTTATGGGTCTATTTTCTAATCATTTTAGCTTTTATGATTAGTGGCCATTTTTCTAAGTATATGTTTCGTGTGTCGTGCGACACTTGCTTTTGTATATAATTTTTTTTTTTTCTTTCTTACAATTTTCATTTCGTTTAATTTCTGCATCTTCAAAAATTAAAAACAAGTACATTTTCGCGACAAAAGTTAGCTAAACCTTTGCTTTCATCAATTAAGAAGGCCATTAAATATACGGTTTCCTTAGCAGCAGGTTGCAATATTGATCACTACTAATATGTCACCATTTAAATTTTCCTTCCATGTGTCGTTCATTACTAACCCACCAGTTTCACAAAAGAATAAAATAAAAAACTAGATTCTTAGCCCGGACTGGTGACTTTTACAAGAAAATGATGATAATTTTCTATAAAGTATAAAAAAAGATAAATATTTAAAAAAAGTGTAATTATACATCTAATCAGATTGAATTTTCAACATTAAACTAAACTCTCTTTTAAGTTCTGAACAAGTTTTTTAACAGAATTTTTTGTTGAAACATTTGTGTAAGATCCAATCATTGTAAAGAACAATTATATAATCAATATCACCAATTAATTAAAATAAAAAATCTCTAGCCTTGCACCCTACTGAATCCTATTTCTAAATTTTCGATCGCTAGCCCCGGAAAAATATGCAATTAATGAAAATGAATCATTTTTTTATACAAAACAAAACAATATTATATATGCCATTAGAGGTACATGTTTCAATTGACTATAACATTTGGAATTATGTAAGAAAAATTTGATAATTTAGAATCCTTCATGCTCGAGCCTCAGAAAATAGAGGGAGACTATCCCTTTAAATCTTGACAATTGTCCTCATCATAATTGAGCACTATTATGTCGCAATCTTTATTTTTCATTTTATATTTTTCTACTGCCAATAAAAAATGACACATACTAAAACTCGTTGTTGATCATTAGCGTCATTCTTGCTTTCTAATTTTCTTCTACTTGATTCCAACAATGTTGATTTCACTGATTCCAACAATTGTTGATGTCAATGATTCTGGTATGAATGAGAAAATACTATTGTTTCAATTGCACTAATCTGTAATAAACTAATATAAAAATCACGCTTGGCCAAATAGTTTCTAACAATCTAATTGGCCGGGCGGTAGTCACGTGACATCAAGTTTGCTGATAATTACATCACTTTTTTAATTAGGGACATATCTGTCATTAAATAATTCACAGATTTTTTTGTTTTGCAAAACCTCCTTTCCCAAAACGACGCCGTGTTAGCCTTCCCAAACAAGAACCTTATAAATAGAGCGACTTCACTCTTCTTTTGCTTCTTCCTCCACAGAAACTCCACCGCCGGTGCTCAACGCAAGATTGTCGCCGATTTTAACCTCTACAAGGAGTCTGCCGCAGCTGTCAATTGGAAAGTTCACCAGATCCTCCACCGCCTTCCTTCTCCACCCACACTTCACCGACCGAATTGCAACCATCAAAGCAGCAACGTAGATATCATTAACGACAAATTTCTTGTTTCCTGCTCTGTCAATGACTCAATGGCGACGGTGCGGCGGTTCTTCAATACTCTGAAGAGTCGAAACCTTTAAAAGACCGCCCTAGGATGTTTTTCCTTCCGCTCTCCGTGGCCGTCGCTTTTTGTTCCTTTACAAAATCCTAATCTGGCTGCGTGGAGAAGGAGGTGGCAACGATGCGGCAAACAAGATGAAGTAGAATCATTACCAATAGTACGCAGGTAAAATTGTAAACCGGGGTCCATTACATGGTACTCCCTCGGTCTCAAAATTATTGTCCAGTTTGAGTTTTTTCGAGCAGACTCTTACTTTTTAAAATTTTCAGTTGATAGTTTTGCTTGTGAAAAATCTATAAATATTTCGTGTTGGCTCCCAGCAGAATAATTGATTGGTAAGCGGCTGATACAATATGGGTGATCAATCCATTGTCGTTTGTCTATTGGTTTGGGAAGCACATTGCAACTTAAACAACAAACAAATAGAGGGTGTTCTTCTATCCAATCGGCTACACCTTGTCCCGCCAACACAAAAAGGAGAACGCAGGGAGATTGAGAGAGCGATTTTATTTATTTTTTTTTGTCCCTGGTCGAAGCCACAACACTCCCTGCTCCATAGTTTACTACGGGTCCCTGAAGACACCGTCAAGATATGTTTTTGACTGATCTGCCACGGGAAATTATTGTCAATGCCTTCATAGAACTTCTATGGGAACTTCTATAAAAATGAAGCAGGATAATATTTGTTTATACATTATGCATTCTACATTTTTTGCTTAAAGATGCTGCAATGTTCTACTTTGTCGTTAGCATATAAAATAAATGGTCTGCATCTGCTTCTTTTGATTTCGTTTCTTTTTCTATTTCGATTATTGTTGATTTATGATTATTCAGACTTAAAAAATTTGCTTTCTCCTTACCGGTTGTTTTGTGATGTAGTTCTAGGCTTTTAGGGTGCATTCAAAAGGATGGTTTGATTTCAGAAGGTTTTATGATTCTGGATCTTAATGAGGAGAGAAAGTTTAAATCACATAACGCTTTTCATAGTCTCCTCAGCGCATCTTTCGATCAGGTTTGAATGTTTTTTCTGTTTTTGTTTGTGTTTTTTGAAGTTGCAATCATTGGATTTGATAAGAAAAAATTATGGCAAATTGCTTTAATACGGTCCAAGTGTTCTTATCTATTTAATTCTTTTAATTTTAGTTCTTTAAAATTATGGCAACTGCTCTCTGTTTTTTAGTTCCGCTAAATTCTTTAATTGAGTTGATTGATTATTGTAAATATTGCACAAGGTCTTCATTTTGTGAATATTTGGATGGCATATCTATGGTTTTGATAGATTAGGATAGATGAGCTATACAAGCTTTTTCCTAGAGTTTGAGACCTCTTTGGTTTTGTTTATTAGATGCTAAGTACTCTCACCGTTTTTCTTTTAGATTTCTATTCATTGTGGATGCTAAATATAATCTTCATGTGTTCTGTTTTGAGCTTACTTAGGGATGTCCTTTGATGGTGTAAAAACAAAGTTTTCTCATGTTTTACCGGGTGCTAGGCAGTTTGGTTATATTACAAGTTTCAAAATTTACTTGACTTTGAAGCAGCCTTGATTCAGTTGTGATAGGGGTATACTCTATTGTGTAATTTTAAAGTGAGCCCCACTAACACGTAATTTTCATTGCTTTGACAAGATGAATGGGAAGTATCTTCTTTGTGATTGTCCTTCAATGTCTTGTTTGGCGCTACTTGAGAAAATAACAGTTCAAAGATAACATCACATCAAACGAGTGAAATTTCCGTGCAGATAGTTCTTTTTGGATTTCCTTCAAGTCATTGGCTTTATTTCTTAGGCTTTGTTGCTATCTTTCTGTTCATGTTATAGAGTTTGCAGAATCTATCAAACTAGATGGCTGTGAGGTTACATGCTCGGGACTGAAAGCTATTGGAAACCGGTGCGTGTCGCATTGTCAATTTTGAATCATAGTGATTACTGTTTGGTGACTTTCACCTAAATCAAAGCACCTTGTTAGCTGTCGAAATCACCTCTTTTCCAGCGTTCAGATGGAACCGAACCCTTCCATGTGGTTGCGTGGACAAACTCTTGGAAACCCATTGGGATTTGATGAGGTTGCCTCTTGCTTAATACTCAACTTATTTCCAACTCTTGCAACAAGTGGTTTAATCGAATAATTACATGGGGAATCTTTTAAATGCTTATAGACATGGATCTAAACTAAGTTCAACTGAGTCAAGCATATTGCATGTTGGTGGCAACATTGAAATAAGTGATTTGAAAGGCTCTTCATTTTTTTTTAATTTTTTTTTATTTAAGTGGGTTAATTTATAGACTTTTGTTTTCCTTTCGTTTTGCAAGAATGGTATTCCGTAGGACAGCCGGATTTCTTGGAATGTGTTTAACAATGGTTACTTTAGTAATCTATTTCTTTTGATTTTGCAAGTGTTGTTTTGGTCTTAGTTGGGTTGTTTAAGAAGGTTTAGGTGTATCAATTTGATTTATGCATCGTATTTTTGCAAGATAGACCGAAAGTTTTTGCAATAAAAAGGTAACTTAACTCTGGTTTGCTTAAGTCGTAGTTTGTCTGGTTTGCTTGGATACTATGTTGAGGACCTTGAGGTTCTGTTTTGTAGGGTGCAGCTCTGCTCAGGTACATCATTTGTAAAACACAAAGTCAGAACAGAGGGTATTCTAGCAATCCTCGACATGCAGCCATTACTATATGCGCTGGTAAGTCGAAAATGTTTCAAAGACTACTGTTAATCATGTTAAACAATGTTCGACACTGCTGTGGAGCCAGTTTATATTTGTTGGGATTGCTTTTGTTTTGGAGCATTAGGATACAAATTAAGTACTTAAGAGTTTGGAAATTGAAAGAATGAGTTATACAAAAGGAGTACTTCATCCCTGCAGTTGAAGTCGAAAAGGTTATAAATTTTTTCTATTCTCTCATCCATTAGTCGTGAACCGTTGAGAAGGCATTGATTTTCCAGAGCATATGCTGATCAGAACTTCCTTCACGTTCTGGAGCTTTACTGTTTTCTATGCGAACTTGCTGGTGATTGTAGATTTCATGGGTACAAACCTAAGAGATTTGGTGCCGAGACTTGTGTGCACGTGGAGGGTGAGCTTTGCCTTCTATTGGATTTGAAGAAGCATCTATCTGTTCGTCCCTGAATCTAATTTTAGAATCTCTGTGTTTCTTTTCATATACTGTTGTTTTTTTCGCTTTTATGGGCTGATTTTAATAGTTAGGAATTAAGAAACACCACAAGTATCAAGCTTTCCTTTGATTTGCTTATTGTTGAACATTGAGAGCTTTATTGTCAGGGCAAACTCTCTCAAGATTTGTCTCTATTCCCGATCTTCCTCTGATTTTCTACTACATAAGAAGCTGCCACGATGAATTTGTGATGCTTCCGTTACGAGAGTTTAAAGGCAGATCCATACAAAACTTTGGTAGGCTATAAAGGTGGAAGCAATTTTACTTGAAGAAAACAGGTTGCAATAATTATTATTGTTGTTTGTTTTGCTTCTTCCATTTTTAATAAAAAAGAAAGAATGGATGATGATAACTTTGGAAACTGATATAAATTTTTGCCAACAAATTTTCTCTTAATTTGGTACATTTTGTTGGATTATTTTTTCTGTTCTCATAAATTCTCCCATTCGATCTATCGGTTTTATCCTTTCATTTTATTTTTAAACTTTCATTTTAAGCTACATGTCTCACCCAGCATCGCGCCGATCCTTTTAATAAAAATGGGACATGTTTTCTTTTATAAACTGGCTACAAAATGAAATAAAAGAAGAAGAAGATTAAATTGGCTCAATTCATCACTTCAAGGCAATTTTTGCAGTATGTTGCATGCCCTATTTATTGGCCAAGAACTAGAAAGGGATCCCCATCTGCCAGTGATAACGTAGTGCTAGATTTTCTAATCCAAAAATGATGCGAGCACAGCGAGCTGATTTCAAAGAACAACAATAATAATAATCGTTTTCAAAAAAAAATAAAATAATAAAAAATGATAATGATAATAAGAGTAGTTTTATATCTTTTCATCTCATAAAAATAATTTATTTTATCACACTAAAAACAATACAATAAAATGGTTTGTTTTTATGAAAGAGATGGACTATAAAATTCATAATAATCGGAGAAAGCCTGTTGGACTGGGCAAGTTTTTCTTGAAAGACTGGCAGGAAATGGGCCGGCAGTTTTCAAAATCACACAGAGGCTTTCAACTTTTTCAAGTTCGCGCAGATGCTCGTCGGAATATTTTTTTCTCAGCGGCCTAGGTGTTTTAGCAAAGCCTAGCCGTTAAAACTTAAATGGAGTTCAAATTAGCCATACAAGATATGTATCGTTGAATCCAATAGTATTGTTATTTCGGATGCGGACGTAATATTAAAAAAGTAGAATTGTGTCATGAATTGAGGGCTTTATCTCCTCAATCATATAGTATAAAGATCAATCTGTAGTTTTGTAAACTTAAAAGATTATAAATAGGCTCAGAAGGATGTAAACAGAATTATCAGAAAAAAAAATGTATTGAGTTGAAAGTGTTGTTTCCCATTCGGGGTGTTTGCCGAAACCCTAAATCTCACCGCCGTTTTTCTGTAATTCCGATCAAATTCGTCGGTGCATTACATATTGTATGATATGGATCCATATTAAAATGTGCACGGGAGTGAAAGATGTGGGCCTCTTTTAGAAGTGTTACTTATAAACGAGAGTGAATGCAGTCAGAAAACCGGAGATTTGTATTATGATTACATGCACCGGATGACGGGATGAAGCTTCAAGCCATGCATTTAGGTTATACCAGTTTAATTACAAGAAAATAGCATATTATCAATTATTATCCACCTTAGCCAGTATCAGTTAGCCAATTCGGAATTCTGCGAATATGGTTGACCTTGATTTTCATGTAAAAGTTTATTTATTAGGTTATTTAAATACTGATGTGTAGTTCGTGTGGTCTTTATTAGGTTATTTAAAAGCAACGGCATCTGCTCTACACGAGAGACGAAACCAAACAAACCCCGTATAAACATTTTCCTGCAAGGAGGATAGACTATAAGTGCGTACTCCAAGTCCCATGAGAATTCAGCTCACCGCCAAAGGCCAAAAAAAAAAAAAAAAAAATAGAAATAGAGGCAGAAACTTCCCATCTCATTTTCTTCTCCTAGTAGTAATAGAAAAATTATCCTTAAGCTCTATGTAAAATCATAATCGCAATACATGAGTACTATATATATAGATGGATTACTTAATTGTTATATAGTCGGAATTCTTGATTTATTACAATAAGGGTTGTTCTTGTTGTCCAATTTCATCAAAGACGATGAACAACAATAATAACCATTGTTGTCTTACGCAGCTGCATCCTTCTCTTCCAGGTTGTAGTAATAATCAATTACAGATTGTGGATTCTAATGGGTCATCATATACTACAAGCAAGCAAGAGGATAATTCATATAAATATGAAGAAGAATGGAAGTTTATCTTCCATTAGGGTTTACATTTAATCCCACCGCTGAAGACCTTTTGGATTATTTAGCCCAGAAGAATGGAGGAATGTTTGATATTCATCCTGGTATGTTCGCTGTGATATTTACGAGGATGAGCCCTGGAATTTGAAGCGTACGTATTCTGTTCTCTTTCTCCCTTTTGTTTTGTTTAGATTTTATTTTTTTAATATATTCCCTTTGTTTTCTTTTAACGTTGGTGGTTTTTCTGTTTGTTTTACATTATAATGATCAATGGAAGGATAAAAATGTTGCCGAGTTATTATAATCAGGCAAATTGAACGCCTTTTCTAAGTACTTCCTAAAATATAATGTACTTTCAGTTCACAACATAAGATTCAAGAACAAATGCCTCCAATTATGTTCGAAGATTTTTGGACTTCGGGGTTTAGCTATGATTTAACTTATTACGTTAAGAATACCTTTTTTCTTTTTTTTTTTTTCGTTTGGGTAAAAGAAACATAGGGTTTTGAGGGAGGTGTTGATGAGGTGGACAGATCAGATTTTTAGGGTTCATACCTTGGATATAATCTGGCACAAAAAGCAAGAAACACGAACTTAATTAGGGTTCTAAATTAGTAGTTTTTGAGTTATGCGTAATGTTCAACCCTTTATTTTTAGCTAGGCACAACAAGAATTATGTATTCAAGATGTTAGCGTGTATATATATATATATATATATATATATATATATCGTGTATGATGTGAGTACTAATATTATACTATTCTTATTTTTCGTGAACGTGTGTATATATAGCAAGACCGTTTGTTCTACGTAATGTAATGTTACTTATGTTCTAAAATGATTATTAATTTTTAGATTTTCATTTTTAGCATATATAATTTATACTAAAATAAAGGTTCAAATTAGACAATTATTTTGAGACGGAGGAAGTGACATCTTTCATTCTTACCATATTCCTTGGAGTCCTTTTCTTCGAGGTGCAATATGATAAACAGTACTATAATTCTAATCTCTTTATATGAATTAATGCAGAGTTTGCTTATACATATCTTACTGATGGGAAGCTGTATTTCTTTTCACGAGTGAAGAGAAAAGACAGCAGCACAAAAAAGAACCACCGTTTAGTATCGGGCAACAAAGGATTTTGGAAGGCATCTTCTGCCAAAAGAAGGGTTTTCTCCGATGACTGGAATCCAATGGTAATAGGTCACAAAGCCTCCTTTGTCTACTACACAAATACTCCAGTACCTAAAACAAAAACCAAGTGGCTCATGTACGAGTACAGACTGCCGGAGGATGATAACAAGGTAATTAATTTTAATTAACTGCGAAGTTTTCTTCTTCTTTTATTTGCAAAAATGCTTGTTGCATGATCACTCATTTCAAAATACAATTATTTAGTTTACTTTGTTGATTATGCACTCAAACCACCGGTGAGAAATTTTCTGATTAAATTTTGGAGAAATACGACTCTGCCCTAGCTAATTAAATGATCCTCCATTAGTATAGAAATTATTGCGGGCTTTGGATCATTAACTGGAAATTTCAGTAGGTGGACTACAAAATTTTTCTTATTAATTTCGTCAAATATTTTGTTATTTTGAGATTTTTTCCCTCGTTTTGTTTTGTTTTGTTTTGTTTTATTTTGCTTTGTCTGGTTCATATATGTAAGTGCATGAAGCATTGAATATTGACATTTATTACTACTAACATGCATCTTTCACTTGATTTTGTGAAGGAACCGTCACAAGGAGAAGATGTATTGACGCTTTGTGTAGTTTACGACAATGGAAAGACTAAGGATGAAGGAGAAAGTAGTACTCAAGTCACTATATAGCTAGGAGCTAATGAACTGAACGGGATGGGAGTTCCTTTTTGGCTCTTTCAATGCCATATTGTTGTTGTTGTTAGTATTACTCTTTGGAGGTAACAATTTCAGTTGTTTTTATCGAATTTTCAGTTCACTTGTTGATGAGGTTCTTAATTGAACTATTTAATTACCAGAACTCTAGAAGAGATGAAATTAAGCGAAGTTTTTATTTTGTATTTTTTTTTATTAGGGTAGGTACGTACCAGGTTCTGAATAGAAACTCAAGCTTGACGTTAGCATAACTTACGTTCAATTTCAGAGAAACACGAAACATAGTCCTTCCGGCCCTTGGTGAATAAATTACAAATAATATTTCTTGGGGTCAAAATAGTGCTGCAAAAATAGGACATAAGAGTATATGAGACGTACCGTGTTGCCTTGCTCCTACTTGTGGCGAAACACGCATGTGTTTTCCAATGAGAAACAAAAAGAAAAATACATTGAAAGCAAAGTCAAAGTGCAAATTGAGTTAGCCAGTTCGATTACACGCAGCTGTTTCAAGGTATGACTCATTCTGGGTTAGTACGTATTAATGTATGTAAAGATTAATACTATTTCATAAAACCAAATTGCATACAATTTGATGTTTTTTGACTTACAATTTGTCAAAATTAATCCCACCCAAAACAATTCAATGATCAATCTCATCCTTTGAAGCATGCATATTGACCTTTTCTAAGTCCATTCAATCATGTCTACTTTTTTCCCCTACGGGAACGTGGATCCGCCTTCCAAAAGAAACCAAAAAAAAAAAAAAAAAGAAGAAGAAAAAAGAGTGAAGAGTTATTTATAGTTTCATAAATATTTACAATAAAATTCAAAGCTTAAATTGTCAACCAGTTGACCAGCGCTATGTATGGGGAGTGAGGACAGAGGTGGAAAGCTTCCAAATTCAGATTTATAAACCTAAGTAATACATACAACTATGTCAACTTCGTACCATGAAAGCTAACTTTTATTATCTTTATTACTAGGCGACTTTAATACAGATTCAATAAAACATTGATTTCGAAGACTGAATATATTATATACATATTTTTTATATATAAATAGGGCGATATTTAATAGGTATTTTTTTTTCCAATTTTATTGAACTGAAAACCAAAGCAAGAAATAGACAATGGGCAGCGTGTGGAATTGACCCGAAAGCATAGTTATTTTTAAAATTGCTAATCAAGCTCTAACAGCCTGCTTGATAACAACTTGATCTTAAATTGAAAATATAAATGTTTTACATATTACCTTTATGTGCGGAAAAATACTTGTAATATATTATTTTGTACCAGAAAAATAGTATAAATTTTATAAAACTTAAAATCTTAAGATTGGACTTATTATATGATTTACATATATCATCTAAAATTTATTGCAGAGTGGATAAATAATTATGACATTATATATATTTTTTGGTCAGATTCAAAGAATTTTATTTTCAAATTAGACTATTTTCTCTAGACCGGAAAGTATAATGCAACTGAAAATAAGAATTAGAGTAGTTTTGACATTACCAACGTGTGTAATATCAGATTGAGAAGATAATGATCCAAGTTTGTAAGTAATCACTTAACAAGTACTTTTTAGATACAATAATGTGTTTGGTTAATTAAGCAGGTAACTTCTGCAAAACTTTCTTCTGTTATTTTTTCTGGGAGGGTGAACTTTCTCAATATTATATTAGATAAATTAAGTCTAATTATTTTAATTGCCACAAGAAAACAAAAGAAAGGTAGTCGCACACCCACAAGATGGCCTATGGAGATGTTACAGCTGTCCATTTTGCGGGCAAGACATTTTAACTCTTTTTCTTGAGGGGTGGGGATTAATGTCATTATCCAGATATATAATATTTCCTAGCAGTCCATGTTGAATTATTTTAATTTCCCTTTGCAAGACACCATTTATTGTATACACAAAATTAATTAATGTTATTATTTTCAAAAGAAATCGAAAACTACATTTCACCTTAATGAACTGACAAAACGACCTTCACTACAAGAAACAAGATTAAGTAAAGGGCTGAACCTAAGATTACAAAAATTAGGACAGCATTTTGGTCAACTCAAAAGAGATGAGGAATCAAATGAACAAATTGTCCTTCTTTATTACTAAATTCGAATCTTAGACTTTTGGAGCTAGATTTTTTATTCCCTTTTTTTTTAATCATATGGGTACTAAATACAATGAACTATGCATCATTAGTATACGAAAAAATTCCAATGGATATTGTTTAATCGGTCAATAAAACTCGACTCGAAAAACTCCCTATAAATATGTACGTGCAATGCTGTTCATTACTCCACAAAAAAACAAGATCAATACCATTCAAATTTTAGTTTCCACAATATCATAGAGAGAGATTAGTTAGATCGTCTGAAAAAAAAAATGATGAAAGTTTTGGCATTATTGCTTCTTGCAATTGTGACCATGGCCTCAATGGGTCATGGCCTTCCTGATGATCAAAGCCCTCAAGCCGTAGAAAAATGGCTCAAAAAGTTCCCAAATGCAAAACCTAAGTTCACAAAGTTCCACTTCTATCTTAACAACATCCTCAACAAGAACCCTCCGGCGAGTGTTGTCGTCGCTAAGGCCAACACCACCGACTCAAACCCGGAGACAAGCTTCGGGTTAGTGAGAGTTATAGACGCTCCATTAACCGAACAATCGCTAAGCGACCATCCTGGCTCGAAAATCATCGGTTATTGTCAAGGGATGTATACATTTTCCGCACAGGAAGAAAGGGCAACGCTAATGACTCTTAACTTCGTTTTCACCACCGGCCCGTTCAAAGGCAGCACCCTTAGCGTTTTCGGGCGTAATTTGGTGACCGCAAAGTACCGGGAATTCTCGATCATCGGCGGATCCGGCGATTTCAGGATGGCCGAAGGAATCGGTACGGCCAGCACTTACTTCCGTGATCCTGTAATGGGAGATATTCTTGAAATGAGTTTCGCATTCTTCCGCTACTCGGTCTAAATACTAAAATGTTTAAACATTTTAGTGTTTTCCCAATTTGCATCTTCCTTTGTAGTTTGATGAGTCATCTTTATTATTGTTAGGTTGTTTTTACTGTATCTTTCCTTATGTAATCAATAAAGTTATGGCATGACAAGGGCACTTGCATGATATAGCCATGTCCCATATCCTTCGCCTCTTTAATTAATGAACTTCTTTTCTTGGAAGAAAAACAGGACTTACGTATTCATATTTCTCATGCTTTCTCTAACACTATTATCTCTATTTCCAAAAAAACGCTATTTTCTCCAACTTGATGAAAAAAATATAGTTCATTTATGAATATACGCGTAAAAGTTTGTTGGGTGGGAGAGTGGAAGTTGCATGTCATTGGTACATTATGCTCACCCTCTGTTCCCAGAATGAATCTTTTGTTAATTTATTCCACTAATTTAGTACACAAGAACAAAACAAATCATTCTAGATCATATTGTTAAATGAATGAAAGAAAGAAAATGGCCACATGTTCCTTTGTTCCACATGGATAGAAGAAAATACTTGAACCCAATATATATACTCCATGTGTTACTTCCCTCATCACCAATTGGTTTTGAGGGGGAACCACATGTGGGCTTATATTTGGGTCTTTCAAGATGGTATCAGAGCGGGTTTTAATCCGCGGACTTGTGGGACTTGTGGGGCGAGGTGGACTGACCCAGATTGGGTCTTAAAACTTTGATCAACCCACAAAAGAAACCCGAGGTTTGACTTTGAACTTTAACTGGCTCGGCAGGCGACGGTTTATTTAGGAAAATAATCGATTGCAAGATTTAAAAAAATCAGAAAAAAATATAAAATTACCCGTCCAAGCCCATTGAGCTTGAGAGGGGCGTGTTAAATAAATGAAAGAAAAAAAATGGCCTCATGTTCTCTTGTCCCACATAGAAGGAAGGAAACACTTGAACCCAACATATATACCCCATGTGCTATTCTCCTCATCACCAATTGGTTTTGAGGTGGAACCACATGTAGGCTTATATTTGGGCCTTTCAAGACATATAAAGAATATGTAATTTCACCCAAATGAGTATCAAAACGTTGTTACTCTTTCAAAGAAAATGTGAAATTCATTTTCAGTTCACGTACAAGTGTTTTTTTGTGCCAGATTAATTATATGTGATTAGATATATTTATAATCTTTTAGCCCCAATGATTATTCAAGAGCCATGTGTTTACCTTGATTTTGAGAGCTGAAAAATATATTTCCAGACCTTGATTTATAATCCTTTTATCATTTATATCATTTGCAAGAATAATACCTTACATATATAATTTTGTGGTCTATTTTCTTTTGAGTAATGATAGGTTTCTACGCAAAATGCAGCTCGATTTACCTGTCTAGACCTCCTGTCCATACCACGTCAGCCTTTCCAATTTTTTACTTAATAATTTTTAAATTTTTTTTTTCTAACAGAAATCGCAGTTAGGTTTGGAGCAGTTTCTCTCCCCAGCAATTCAATCCTCCGACCACCGTCACCACCGCCAAAAAACATTCCAACTCTGTCTCTCAATCTTGATTTCAAGATTTCTGATTAAAGCCGGTTGCTTTATCTTTAAATCCTCCAGAATATCATCTTTATATCCTTAGTTTATGATTGTTTCATACAATTCGAAGTTATCTGGAAAGTTAGGTAGATCAAATGAATAAAAGGATGATTAGCACTATTTCTCATTAAACCACCAAATCATCGGATGATTCGAACCCCTCTCCGGACAAAGCTCAAGAAGTAATAGTCCAAAAAAGTAAACATTTTTCTTGTAATCAGATTCAAACTCTTCGCAAGGTGATCTGTGGCAATGCTGAATCATTTGATTTCATAATAAAGTTAACCCCTCAGAAGTTTAAAATGTCAACATAGTTCAACAGCAGGATCATCGGGCATGGAAATAGAGCTGGGGAAGCCTAAAAAGTGAAATATGAAATTCTTGAAAGGGATTCTAGACATACAAACATAATCCCTAATCATTTGGAGGCCTTAATTAGAATTCTTGAAATTAAGATTTGAGAAGCCGATTTGAAATTCTGACGGTGGTCGGACGATTGAATTCCAGGAGAGAGGACTACTCCAAAGCCTAATGCGATTTAAGGTTTTTGTTCTTTTTAATTTATTAAGTAAAAAGAATGGAAAGTTGACGTGGTGTGGACAGGTGGGTTGACAAGTCACGTGAGTTGTAGAAGCCTATCATTACTCTTTTATTTTTGTGCAAAAATGCGCTACATTTATTGTCTACCCACATAACAACCTAATATTGGAATGTTGAGTACACTTAGGTACAAATATTGTAACGGTACAATAGGTTTTTTCTTTTTTTTTTTAATTAATAATTGCATCAACTACATCTTTAGCGAATTTCAGGATCTGAATTACTCTTTGCAATAAAAAAATTGCTCACCTATAGTCATTTAGAATAATTTTGCCCATGACTTACAAAATTACTTATCTTCCTCCTCTTCTTCCTATTCTTCTCCTTTCTTATTCTCCAACTGCAAACCAAAAAAACCAAAACCTCCATCTTTCAATTTAGAACTACAAAAATTCAGAAACTAAAAAAATTTCATTGCTCAAACAAAATAATTATTGAAAAGTATAATAAATAACTAAAACGAATATAACATAAATAATAACAACAACACAAAAACATTGAAAAAAAATAAAATAAAAACTGCTTAGGGTAGCCGGCGGTCCGAGACCGGCTCCTTCTTGAAGAGTAGCCGACTATGATCATCAAAGTATAGTTTTGAGTAGTTTTTTGAGGTTACAAGTTTATTAAAAAAAAATAATTGTACGTATCATGCATGTAAATGCAGAAGTGAATAGTTTTCTAGTCGTATGGACCGAAAAGAAAACTGTCAACTGGGCGGAGGAAAAATCCTTGCACTCCTACTTTTCCAAAAGTGTTTTTCCTTACATTGCGGAATGCAGATCTCCCATGTAAAAAGTACAGATAATATGACTGGGCGGCGAAACACACATAAATCCAAATTTGTATTGCTAGATTTAATAATATTCTATTTTTCAAAATTATCGTTCAATTTGTATTTTCACTTTTAGTTAAATTAGTGCTATTCCTATGCGTTGCACGTTTTTTTTTAAAAATATTTTATGCCAATTTCAAATTATTAATCAATAATGATTTATAACCGCATAATTTGTTATTTACGATGTATTTTTTTTAAAAGGGATAAGATTGTAATTTTTTTAATTGAAAAAGGAATAAAACTCGGAAGGCTTGTTACAGTAAACTTGTTCTCCCGATTTCATACATATGTTTGTCAAACCGGTGTAAGGGTTTGCTTATGATGGTTCGGTGCCTCTTACTGTGATTTTTTCAATTAAAAATTTATTGACTTGTGATATGAATCAGTGTCGGGAGATATTTTTTTATCCTTAATAATGAAAAAAAGAGAAAATAGAAAAAAGAAGAGGTAATCATAACAAGCAGAGTAAACTGTTTAAATGGTCTTCAACATTTGTCAAAAAACATAATTTGGTCATTTACGTTAAAAATTCACTGGTTTGATTAATTATATTTGTCTTTTACACTAATTTAATATTTTTTTATTTTTAGACACTTTTTATGTGGTTCTTAGGTTGACCATTTCTTGGCCAAGTCATCAAGGGTATTTTCGATAATGTCTAATTTATAAAATATTTATTAACAAAAATGATTAAAATGATATTAAATATATTATATTAATTTATAATTAGTTTAAAAAAATTATAATTTCAAAATTCACAATTTGCTTTTCCAAAATCAGATTTCTTTTTTTTTTTTAATTCAATGGGTCCCACATTCAGGATCTTATTATTGACCTTGTTTAACTTTTTCCTCCATTTTCCTGGTCAAAAACTTTTTCATTCCCAAACATCCTCCTAGATGTAGAGAAACAAAAGTTAAAGAATAAGGCCAATAATAAGAACCTGAATGTTAGAGGAGGGGGAGAAGGGGGGGAGGGGAGGGGATGTCAATCTTTGACAAGACACGAAAACACGACTCAAACCTAACACGTAATAAGTGAGTTTAGGGTTAAGTTCTGGTGGGTTTGGATCAAAATCGAGTCAAACCCGCGAATACGTTTAATGAAACAGGTCGAACTCAGGTCAACCTGTCATGACCTGTTTAGCCCGAAATTTAAAATAAGTAATTTGAGGGCGTATTAGGTAAATATTATAAATATACTGTCTAAACCCTTTATATATACTCATATCAGCTAGAATATCTATTTTTTAGTTAGTTCTAAACATACTATCAGGCTTTTGATGCGTTATTTAGTTAATTATTTCCCATTAAATTCACATGAATGAATTAAAAAAAATCTCAAACTTAATGTTTGAGTATGTGTTATGATCCTAGTATGAAAAGTTTTTTTCTTTAAATTTTTTTTTATGATAAAGAAGTTATATAAATTTTAAAAGTAGGCAAAATTAGGACAAAAGGACAAAGATACCCTCTAAAGAAGTCAACGGTTAATGATTTGACTATTAGTTTTTTAACACCTTTTAGACGGAAAAGTGGAAAAAAAACAAACTTCTAACTAATGGTGCCACTTAAATTATTTTTGAACTTAATAGGGGTAAAAAATACGAACCTTGAAGTTATAGTACTTTTTAGATAAAATAGTGTACAACTTATAAGTACTTAAAATTTAATTTCATATTATCTTTTTTCAAAAATTTCTTAGTTCTTTCCAAAAAATGTATTTTGTTAATTACACATTTATTAAATTATGGGTCATCATGTCGTGTCGGATCGTCCATGTTATTATCAAATCGTGTTTAGGCTCAAAAAATTGACTCGTATAATTAAACAGGTTGTGTTAAGGTTAGTACATTAATATCCGGGTTCATGTTGGGTCTGACCCGCGAACCTGAAACACGAATCGGTTGACACCCTACTACGGGACCCATCGGATAAAAAAAAAAATCAGATTTTAGATTTTCTTTTTTGTATTTTAAAATTGAATTTTATTTTTAAATTAATTATAAATCAATATAATATGATTAATATTATTTAAATTGATTTTATTTTATTATATTTTTGAGAGATTAGGTATTACTGAAAATACCCAAGTTGACATGACTACAAAATGGTCAACCCGATAACTACCTAATGTAAAATGTCAAAAAAAGTAAAAAGTACTAAATTAGTCTAAAAGACAATCTAATGGACCAAAT